CTGCTTGCGGGTTTCCCAGAGACATCTGCTTTGCCACTGTGAGGAGAGGAGGCTGCACTGGGGGTAGGGATTGGCCTGACCCACCAGGACCCTCCTTATGTTCTTAACTGGCAGTGAGGGCTGGAGCCTGGATAGAAAACTTCCAGTGTTTGACGCCAGGAGTTCCACAACAGCCAAAGCAAATGCAGCATATAAATGGAAGAACACATTGTGACTCTTCTCATTTCCCTAAAAGCATTTAGCAACAGATGTGGGGCTCTGCATGTTTAAACTGAATGATTTCTACACCCCCACCCCACCCCTTTGACTCTCTCTCCTCCCCCACCCCACCCCGTTCCTAATCTAAGGAGATCCATCTCGGGATTCTCTCCCTGCAGCTTCTGGTCCACAACACCAGGCCCCTCCAGGATCCCTTTTCCCCTCCAACAGCAGATGCTGAAAGCACAGCTTGGCGATTGCAAGCAGTAGAAAGACAGAAGCAAACACAGAGAGGAGAGACTAATTAGTGTGGTCCAAGGAATTAAAGACAGAAACAATCTATTTAACTAATTGCCTTAATTAAATTCTAAATGCTTCCTGTGAAAGATGCCTGTCTATACTGAAGGCACTTTAAAAAATAAAGAATGGGTTGGGGATGTAGATTAATTCTTTTACTTCTATTATTGGGTTATTGTTTTTTCTTTTTATTTTATATATTGTGATCTGTTTTGTGAACCACCCTGAGACCTCTGGGTATAGGGCGGTATGTAAATTCAATAAATAATAAATAATAATAATAATAAATGCAGTCAACCAATCCATCCATCCATCGATCCAGCTTCTCACCTTGCCACGAAGCTTCTCCAGCTCCTCCCTGCCCCCGGACGACCCTGCATCTGCCCCTGAGGTCTCCAGCAGGAGCTGCATGTCAGCCAGCAGAGCATGAGTCCTCTTCAGGTCACGCCGGAGTCGCTTCTCCACATCAAAATCTCGATGGCCAATCTGGAAAGGGGTTGGGAAGAGAAAGCAGGGGCAGGCTTAGGGTGGGCAACTTGCACCAAGCCCCAAATCTCATGCCCTTTCCCCTTTGCACCTATAAGTATAAATTAGCATATGCAAATTTTGTGCAGAGGGGAGCATTGGGCTGTGCCTCAGGCACAGACACGCCCCCAGCACTTGCCAAGGCCTCTTCCACCACCCCACCCAGCTTTTCTTAAAATGAAGGGTTTCTTTTTTCTTGCTTGGTTGGGGATGGCTTTGTTTTGGGGGCTGTTGCCTGCTTTCATTTTATCTGTCTTCTCTTCTATTTGAGGGGGAAATGTAGGTATTTTCCTAGATTTCTAGATGTGCCCCTCAACCCCAAAAAAGACTGGAGACTCCACAGAATAGCTGGTCCTTCCTTCCTTCAATCAATGTTGTTAATTAATTTCCTGCTTCCTCTCACAAGACCACAAGGCAGCCAGCCACCAATCAAGTACAATTAAAATTCAAAAACAATTTTTAAAAACAGAGGCAGCAGTCTCAGGTGGCAGAGTATGAGGGGGTAGCACCATCATGGGCATCACACCCATCCTCCACTGCTGGCAGAGAAGCTGTGGCAGCAGCTTCTGGTGAGCTCTCATGAGAGCCCCAAGGAATCTTGTGGAATCTTGCAAGATCTTGCAAGAAGCCACGGTCACTTCTCCTCACTTCTCTGGGAAACCGTCAGATGGGCAGGTATAAATAATAAATTATTTATCTTTATCTTTATCATCATCATCATCTAGAGCCACCATGGGTGCCAGAGAAGCAAGGAGAAGTGGCTTCTTGTTTTGCCTCAGGCTGCACAATGGGACACCACGGCCCCTGGACAACACACAACCAGGTTTAAGCCAAAGAAGAGCCACAATGTCCACACAGCATGAAGGATGCTTTGTCAGGATTTGATTAATGCTTGTAATATATGAAAAACTATGGAAAATTTGATTCTTATTCTTTGAACAAAATAGAGAAAATAAGATAAGCAGATAAAAAAAAAGATTGATAATGGTAACCATGGAAGGAGGGAGGGAAGTCAAAGGAATCAGGGAATCCTAAATGAGGAGGTGAATGGTGTGTCTGAATTTAAATTTGTTATGTAAAACATATGTTTACATTATTTGTTGCATAGATACAAAGTTAACAAAAAGAAAATAAATTGATATATTTTGACAATTAATCTTCTTAAAGTATATTTAACTTCCTGTCATCTCCATACTTCATTTTATATTTACAGATTGTTGCATAAACCAATCTGATTATTTTATAATAAAGTATTATTTCTCCTGTGTCCTTATTTCTTACTTAATATAATTACAGAGGTTATTCAAAGGCAGTGACCAATTTCATACTACCACAATTGTTCTTAAGGTATATTTTGAAAACCTCTCATTTTGCAATAAATACTTGCTTTGACTTGTCTTTAATTTTTTCGGTTAATTTGGCTAACTCTGCATATTCAACCAATTTTATCACTTTTACAGTTAGTCGCTATTAAAAGTCTCACAGCGACAATGGCGTATAAAAATATTTCTCTTACATTCTTAGGAATGTCTGGTCCTGTAATTCCGAGTAAAAAGGCTTCTGTTGTGTTTTTTGTTGTTGTTTTTTTGTAAATAAAATCCTGAGCATTTTTTAAAGTTTTATGTAAATGTCATCCCAGAAGATCTTAAATTTTTTATATAACCACAACATATGGAACATTGTACCGGTTCCTTCTTTATATCTCCATCAAGTACTAGATACATTTTTATACATTTTTGAAAGCTTCCAAAGAGTCAGGTACCAATGATATTACATTTTTTGAAAGTTTTCCCTCAGCGTATAACACGCCGTAAATTTCCAATTTACTTTCCATAGATTTTCCCACTCTATCAGATCTATATTGTACCCAAAATCCTGGGCCCATTTAATCATGGCCACTTTCACCTCCTCCTCCTTGACTTCCCTTGACTGGGAAGTCAAGGAGGAGTCAGTATCCTTTAGAAAGAGCTTTTGTTTTGGAATTGACCAAATCTGTTTCCAATCTGATTGCCTCTGTCGCAAGCCCCTTTTTTTATCTGTTTTGAATGGTTCAAATAGTTGAAAGTATTGGAACCAATCTGCTATTTTCTCTCTTATCTCTTCAAAGCTTTTCAGCTTTAATTCATTTTTTTCTTCCTTTAATAGTATTTTATATGTTGGCTAATTTCCTCCCGCGTTTTTCCTTTTTACCGCAGATGCCTCAACTGGTGAGATCCACCAAGGTGCCTTTGGCTCTAAGAGATCTTTATATTTCTCCCAGACCATATACAGGGATTTTCTAACAATGTGATTCAAGACGTTCTTGTGAATTTTAACTTTCCCATACCACAGGTATGCATGCCATCCGTACCTGTTTTCATACCCTTCTAAGAGGTTGGGATCTTAAAGCATGCACCATTCCTTTATCCAGGTGAAACAGGCTTCCTCATAATATAATTTTAAATCTGGCAGGGGAAAGCCTCCTCTTTCCTTTGTATCAATTAAAAATTGATGTTTAATTCTATGTCTTTTTCCCTGCCATAAAAATTTGGAAATGTATTTTTGCCAGATTTTGAGGTAGCCTGTTCCACCCAGTATCGGAATTGTTTGGAATAAAAAGTAGTCTGGGAACCACGGTCATTTTGATGATGGAAATGTTTCCTAAAAATTAGAGGTTTAGCCTACTTCAGATCTCGAGGTTCCCTTTGATCTCTTTCCAAACTTTCACATAATTATACTGAAACAAGTTGATGTCCCCCCCACAATAATATTTATTAATTTTCAATAGACATAACAAAACAGAGAATATACAACAACACAACAACATAACAACAACAACACAATATAGAAGTAAAAAATAAGAAAAAAGAATAACAGACTTAAACATACCTAAACAGAAAAAAGAAACTTCATTAATTAATTAAAATCCATTTTCATAAACATTTTAGTTGACTTCCTCTACTCTCCTCCATCTGAATTTCCTCTTAATTTGAATGTAGCAGTTTCCAATATCATTATTTCATAAAACAATATTACAGTTGTATTCCAATTTCTTTACCTTTCTTATAGTACATTTTCTTATTTATACATTTAGGTCTAATTTTGTCCTAGGCCTGATTGGTTCTTTGAAGTGGTTACATATCTTTAATGTTAAGAGTATTTATTGAAATAGTCTTTAAATTTCTTCCAATATTCTTGGTAATCCTCTTCTTTCTGGTCGCGGATTCTCCCCGTGAGATCCGCCAGCTCCATAAATTCCATCATCTTCATCTGCCATTCTTCTACCGTTGGTAATTCTTGTGTTCTCCATTTACTGGCTAGTAAAATCCTAGCAGCTGTTGTGGCATACAAAAATACTTTCATGTCTTTTTTGGGCAGTTCAGTACCAACTATCCCAAGGAGAAAGGCCTCTGGTTTCTTAATAAATGTATATTTCATCATTTTTTAAAAAAATCATTATAATTTTTTCCCCAGAAGTCCTTTACCTTGGGACAAGTCCACCACATATGATAGAAGGTACCTTCTTTTTCTTTACATTTCCAACATACACTGTCACAATTATGGTACATCTTTGCCAATTCGATGTTTTTTGGAGTGATTCAGATGCCAAGGTATTTTGCTTTATGACAGATCTTGAGGCCAGATGTATTTTCCAATTCTTCCTTTTCCCGTACTGTTACATTTTTGACCAACAGTTTCATCTTTTGTTGTTGTTTAGTCGTGTCCGACTCTAGAGGGGTTCAATTTAAAGCCTGCCACTTCTCCAAATAAATTTGTTATGTAAAACTTTTTATATATATAAATGCATATATATGATGCATAAGGGCACTGCAGACAGAGAAGCTGAGCAGCAGCTGAGATGGTAGCATTCCTCTGAGAGAAAAAGACAAAGATTGTCAGCATTCCCCAACCTGGAACCCTTCAGATGCTCTGGACTACAACTCCCATCAGCCCCAGTCAGATAAGGTGGAGGCTGATGGGAGTTGCATTCCAAAACATCTGAGGGAATCAGATCGGGGAACTCATTCCTGCCATTTGGGCACCCATGGAAACAGCCTGCAACAGTCCCCTTGCAACAGGACAAATCAGCACTGCTGGTGGCCTTCCCCTCTTTTCTGACAGATGGGTTCTGGCTGGGGAACGTTTGGGCAAAACATGGCTTCTGCTTTCCCCACTTAGCCCCCTTGGACTCTCTCTTCCTCAGTCACTGTAATGCTCCGCTGGTCTTATCACAGAATGCATCTAACACAATAAATTAATTCCGTGCTCTAAATACAAATATAGTCACTGCTGCTGTTTTCAGACCTCAGTGTTTGCCTCTGCCATCTCCAACCTTGTGTCTCGCTAATGAACAAGGGCTTGAGAGAGTGGCTGCAAACGTCACTCTCTTCTGCAGCGTTTCAAGCAATGGCCAAATTGGCAGCTCTTTCCTTCTGCTAGCATAAACAGCCAATGAATCACAAGTGGTGGAGGTCAGAGGAAGGCAGTGGCACTGGCAGCAGCAGCAATCTCTTGCCTGCCTGCCTCCAGCGGCCCTCAGGAGCCATGAGCACAGAGCAGAGGCCACAGAAAGCACTGCAGAACACCCTTGGTGCCCCAGGGGGAGCAGCTGGCACAGGGGCTGCCTTTCTCAGCTTCAATGGGCCAGCAAGTTCAAAGCAAGAACCTGGAAATTAAACTGAGTTACTCCACAAATCTGCAGTTCTGATTTTTGAAAATGTCAGTTTGCTTTTGATATCTGTTTCAGTAAGGCACCCTTAAAAAAAAACCCAATATCTTGTTATTAAATATAAGCATCTTAAATTTAGTTCCTTCTCCCCCTCCACACACCACAGCCAGACTCAAAGAAGTTAACACTAACAAATTAGCAAAGGTATAAATTCCACTTCTTGCAAGCAAATTCCAATTCTCCAAAATCCACTTTCATGGGTCGCGTCTTGCCCTTAAGGTGACTTTTAACACATCTTGAATTATGCATTCTGCACACACAGTTATCAGCCATTAACTGTACTGTGCTTGGTATTTGAAGCTGCAACCCAGAATCTGTCCTCACACACAAGACGTTTGAGGCTGCACAGGAAGGAGGCAGAGCCCAGCTACAAGGCCAAGTGAGGCAGGGAGCATTCAGGACAAGGGGTCCTGAAAAGCCAACTAAAAACGTAAGAACATATGAAGACTCCTGCTGGAGGCGTACACTCACAAGTGTACACATCCTTCATATATAATGGCTACTCCTCCTCCCTTCCTGTTTGGTCTATTCCTTTTAAACAGGTTATACCCCTCAATTCCTACATTCCAGTCATGGGTCTCATCCGGTTTCAATAATGTCTACCAGAGTCATATTTGCCATCCTGCATTAAAAGCTCCATTCGTCTTGCTTGTTTCCCATACTTTGTGCATTTGTGTAGAGACAATGGAAACCATGAGTTGTTCCCTCCAGCTGCTTCTTTCTTGTAGTTTCTTGCCCTTTAGCAGGTTTCGGTTTCAGTTAGGGTTAGGGCTAGTTTCCTGTGCATCAGAGAAACTATTACCGGTATCCCTAGCACTGTGAGTTCTTCTGTCATCTGTAATGTTGTCTCCCTCACCCTGAAGTTCTAGTTTAAAGCTCTCCTGATCAGATTCACAAGATACTAGCAAACACATTTGTGCCAACTGCTGTGAGGACCAGCCCATCTCTTGCCAGAAGTCCTTCCTCAAGACCATGATCCAAGAAGCCAAACCCTTCCTCATTACACCACCAGCGCAGCCAGTGGTTTATCTCCAGTATTTTCCTCTGTCTTCTTGGGCCACCACCGCTCCTCCACCTGCAGCTGCTGGGTGACCTTGGGCTAGTCACACTTCTCTGAAGTCTCTCAGCCTCACTCACCTCACAGAGTGTTTGTTGTGGGGGAGGAAGGGAAATGAGATTGTTAGTTGCTTTGAGAGTCCTTAGGGTAGTGATAAAGCAGGATATCAAATCCAAACTACTCCTCCTCCTCCTCCTTCTTTTTCTTCTTCTTCTTCAACAGGAAGGAGTGATGAAAATACCACCTGTGCCCAAAGTCTCTTCATGATGGCCTGGGAATCGGATTCAGATGCTGAACCGGAGGAATCCCAGCCTGCACAGGAGTCGCCACCTCCAGGGCCGGCTGAGCTGGGGCAGGGGCTTGAACCTGAAGGGCCCTCACCTGTGCCGGATCCTCAGGAGCAGACAACAGCTGAATCTGCTCTGGCTCCGGAGGTGATCGAGGACCCATTGCCTGCAGGTGCTCCTCTCTCAGCCCTGTCAGGGGAAGGTGAGGTTGCCTCCGGGTCCAGTAACCCTCCAGCCTCTCCTGAGCTGCAGAGGCTCAGGGCAGAGAGGTGGAGGGAACTAAGTTCTCACAGGAGGAGTGCTCGCCTCCAGGCCAGGAAAGGCGAGTCACCTGTGGACTGGGGCCGCCCTATGCCTCAAGAGGAGATAAAGGCCAGCCCATCCAGTCCCAGGTTGCGGGAGCAACATCGTTGGTTACCTGTTCCTGCCGGCACCCTGTCCTGCTTTCTGCCAGAGTTCCTGACCACGCCCGACTCCCTGCTTTGGACCCCGCTTCAGCCTCGGACCGGACATGGACCATGCTGCACGGTAACCCCCCCCCCGGGACCAGCACACTTCAGCTCCCTGCCCAGAGTCTCATGTTCCCTTGCTATATGTTGAAGGCTGTGTGTGTCAGTATTATTTTACCCACATGAATCAGAAGGAAGGGTTAGTGGTCAGTGGGCTTTATAAGATTTGGCGACTTCTCTGTCACATTGTGAATCTTTGCAGCTGGAAGACAGCCCAAATCCTGGGACATTCTGTTACCTCCACACACGACTTTCTTTTCTCTGTCCTGACTCTTCCAGCATTCAGCTTCAGTGGATGTCAAGTTCATCAAGAGAAGCTGTATCTGAAAGGAGCCAGAGTCAACTGTAGGCTGATCAGGCATGTGGTAGCCTCTGCTTCCCTGGAAGAGCTGGTTGGCTGCTTAATGGGCACTCATTATTTTCAAGACTTTGGCTTCTGGGAGGATGGGAATAGAGAGAGGGAATTCATCCTCTAAGTGAGAGGATGGTGGCAGGACTGTGTCTTCCCTCTGAAGGGGATCCAAATGAAATACTGATGGTTCTCCTCCCGAGGAGTAGCCTGAACCTTGCCCTCATGGTTCCCATTCAGGGCTGGATTTGGGTTTGATGAGGCCCTCAGCTCCTGAAGGTAAAGGGGCCCTTTCTATGTCCAGCTGTCCTTTGTCAACAACAAATAGTTACTTTTTTGTGTGTTGACTATGGTAATTCATAGGAGCCTACACAGCACAAAACACAGTTGCTGTATGTAGGTTTTATTTTATTTGTTTTTTATCTTATATTTTGGAAATGTACATCCAGGTTTTTTTCCTTTAGTTTTTTTTGGGGGGGGGCCAAGAGAGTGGGGCCCTAAGCTACAGCTTGTTTAGCTTATACGTAAATCTGGCACTGCTCCCATCCCAGGAAGCGGAAAGGAAGTGTTCAGGAAGTTCCCGGGGGGGGGGGGAGTTGTGTGCCATCCTGTCCTATTGTGAAACAGACATGCAGCTCCTCTTCCAAATAAACCCCAAACAGATGTGGTCCAAGAAATCTTAGAGTAGGCTTGTTAGAGGTTTCAAGCTTAGAAAGGTTTTAAATTTTTTTTAAGTTGGAGAAGAACGATGAGAGAAATTGGGTTCAGATGGTGAGGCTTAGACTAGTGGATGATAACCTCATCAGCACATATGTCAGAAGGTGAGGATATTTGGAGTATTTTATGAGGGCCTGGCTCAACCTAATAATAATAATAATAATTTTATTATTTGTACCCCGCCCATCTAACTGAATTGCCCCAGCCACTCTGGGTGGCTTGCCATGATAAGGGTATGTAACATAGAGTTAGGATATCCTCTTATATGCTTACCTGGAAGTAAGCCTCAATGAACTCACTAGGATTTACTTCTGAGCAGGACAGTCATAGCATTGCACTGCCCAAAACACAAATCCTTGCACAGAGAAAGCTAACGTCTTAGGGGCAAAGTGACCAGGTCCACATTTGCCCTGACATGCTCTTTCCCTTGGGCAGAAGATATAGAAGTATGCTTAGTCACACCAACAGGGTAAAGAACAGCTTCTATCCGTGGGCTGTTAGGCTACTGAATGAAAATATAACAACAGGGCAACTGACTTTCGGGTTTGGTGGATGTGCGTCAGTAAACGAGGGGAATTAAGACTAAGAGAGCTCAGTGGGGGGTGCTCGTGTAATCTCACTGTATACAAGTTGTACAAGTGACAATGAAGTATTTTAATTTCAATTTTCTATAGGCAAGGATTGTGATTTCATTTTATTTTAGGAAAGGAAGGGCATTCAGTTATGTGAGTTCCTTTCTACACCCTGAAATTGCACAATCAGCTGGTTTGCCATCAGCTTGTGAGCATGAGATCGATTCTAGACACTTTGGAGCTCTTTGGCATTTAAAAGGCTTTGTGATTCTGCACTGTTTAGATTGTGTGGTGACAATTGCCTGTGTGCTACTGCCTTGGCTTACACATTTATTTTATTCTGTAAGGGTGAAAGGAAGGCATTGGAGGCTGTGCTCCTCCAAGTGACCCCCTTGCCGCCCTGCATATGGCTCCAGGAAAGGAGATGGCGGGGTAGAGACAAGCCACCTGTTCCACTGCTGGCGTTCTATGTTGTTTCCCCAGGGCCTAACGGTGACATCCTTCCAAGTCACTGACAGATTGCCGTTCCCTTACCTGTTCACAGAGTGTGGCAATCAGCCCTTCCAGGTCCCGCTTCTCACAGAGAATTGCCTGCTTCTCTTCGCCCTCCTGCTCACACTGCATCTCCAGCTGACGCAGCTGTAAAAGAGGCCAAGGAACAGAGCGATGTCTGAATGGACTGAGCGGAACTGAGAGGGGAGCCAGCAAGTAGCAGCAGCCTGCAGCCATTGCTAATGCCATCCTTTCTTCACCAGAACAACTTTCCTTATGTCCAGAAACCTGAAATTGCACTGGTGGTATTTTTGTTTTTAATTGCTCTTTGTTTTATGTTTCAAAGGCAGCTCCTGACTGGGAAAAACTGACCCAAGAAAGAAAAACAAATACAGCTTGACCCTTTTTGATTGATTGGATTGGAAGCATCATTTATAAGAATTGAAACTATCCTCTTATGGTTTCTGGGTTAATTTGGGATTCTTTGCATGTTGTTGATGTTGTTGTTATTGTCATCATTATCTTTGATTATCATCTTCTAAACCAACGCCTCAATGTGATTTGCATATAAGATAATTAAAAACATTTTAAAACACAAAACATCAGATGCATTTAAAATAAGACTAAAGTCCCAACAAGTGGGCACTTGCAGAGACGACCATCAAAGGTGTCATTAAAACTGACACCTTCAAGATCAGGGCCACAATCTGAGGCCCATCATTTTATCTCTTAATTCCAGCCCATAACATGCATGCCGATGCTGTCCCCACTCATCCATATCATGATTTATTCGTAGTTCTTTAAAATAATGTCTCTTTTCTGTGAAAAGATCAATAGCAGCCCAAGGAAATGGAAATCCATGAAGATTCATGCATACCAAGCAGCAGACCTTAACATTACGCGTTAGATTCAGATTTCTAATATATCACTATAATTTTGAAAACAAGCTTTGCCTAATATTTTTAGTGCCTCTGAAGCATCATAGGCAGAAATAATTATATAGTTAATTAAAAAGAAATTAATTTGAATCCAGTCTTGCTTTTACTCAGTGGGACCAGAAAGCATATATAATCAGCCACAATTCTCTCTAATTTATAGAAGCAGAACTAATCCCACCTATATATCAATGAGATCTGCCTTCCAATGACAGCGGTCAAGCTCCAGTGTCCATTGTGCTCCGCATTCTGTATCCGACAAGACAGAATGGTCCGTGGGACAAATCAGCTGAACACAAGACCATCTGAAGAGACTGCTGGGTCAGGCCAACAGCTCATCCAGCACAGCACCCAGCAAACAAGACCTGAACACAAGAGCCCTCTTCCCTCCAGTGGCAACTGGGATTCAGAAGCATTACTGGCGTCAGCTCTGGAGGCAGAGTTTTGCCAGTATGCCTGGTAGTCACTGATGGCCTTCTCCTCCATGAATTTGTCTAATCCTCTTTTAAAGCCATCCCCCTTCTTCCTGAGGGAGGGAGTTAAATAGTTTAATATGTGCTGCATGAAGAAATCCTTTCTTTTGTCTGTCCTGAATCTTTTAACATTCAGCTTCATTGGGTGTCCATGAGATTTGAGTATTATGAGACAGGGAGAATAACTTCTCGCTGTCCAGTACTTTCTCCATGCCACACATAGGTACTTAGCCATTATTCACTGCAGCTGCTTCCTACGTGCAATGAACAGGACGGCCTTCAAGGGCAGGAGTGGAGAGCTCTGTCTGCTGGAATGCCCAGAGCTACAGAAATCTGCCAGACTAAGGACACACAAGGACAAAGGTGGCTGCCTCCCCATGCCATACCCTTTTCTGGCAGGACTGCCGAACATCCTCCAGCTCTTCCTCCTTGTCCTCCAGCTCCTTCTGGTGAAGCTGTTTCATCCTCTCAATTTCCAGTTCGAGTCTCAGGTGAAGCTGAAAGGAAGCACCAGGACAATATGAAGATGAAGGTGATGAATTATGAGGTCCTGGGGGGCAGGGTTACAACAACCTGAGCACTCAAGATGGTCTGCAGGGAAGGAAGGGGGGTCTTTCAGATATTTGGGACCTGAGCCGTTCAGGGTTTTGAACACTAACACAAGCACCTTCAGTTGGGGAGGGTGACTTGTTGAGGGTTTCTGTTGAGAGCCACATTCACTTATGGAAAATTTGTTGGGAGCCACTGATCTGTAGTGGGTGGAGCCAAACATCACTGAAGGCACCCTCCCCCCTCTCTTTCTGCTAATCCCTCATCGTATTTTCTCTTCCTTGTAGTCCATGGCTGGGGGGGGGTGTAGGTTGCTTGCCCCCCTGCACCACCTTTCTGTGCTCCTTAAAATATCCCTGTAATTGAGGTCAGTCCTGTTGACTCTAGATGGGGGGCGGGAGACTGAGGGCTGTGGAGAAGAGAGTTTTGCATGGTCCTCTTCTTCCCAAGCTCTTGTGCCTAGCTCAGTACTTCCTAGCTGGTGCTCTTGGAACAGAGGGAGGGCAAGGTTGCACCCAAAGTGCTGATGAAAGCCAAATCACTTCCTCCTCAGGAGGCCACCTTACCTGTTCCAGCTGTTCAATGGTGCTTGCTTGGGAGCTCAGCTCCTTCTGCTGCTCAGAGGCTCTTGACTCCAGGTCCCAAAGTTTCTTCTGGAGGGCAGCCAGCGAGTTGGCATCCAGGTCCTTGGGGGCGCTGAGCTCCTGCACCTGGCTGCTCAACAGCACAAGCCGCTGGTTGAGGCTGGCATTGTCCAATTCTTTTTGCTGGGGGCGGCAGGGGGGATCGTGAAGGTGGGGGGACATAGAAGACAAGGGGGAAAATTGACACATCCACAGTTTAGTCAACTGTATCATTTATTTATTTGCCATCTATATACATGTGCCATCAGGCAACAACATTCTCTGGGCAACTTACAATATCAATAAAACATTAAAATGCAGCATCCATAAGGCAGGAGAGTTAAACGATTTCAGATACTGTACCTTGAAAAAGGTCTTGGAAAGCAATACAGGTACCATTTCTTGGTGCTGATAGGATTTAAAATCAGAAGCTAGGCAAGATGTGCTTTCTTTTTAAAGTGCATCTCAAAAATAAACATTTCAAAATAAAATTTTTGAGATCCTGAATTCTGAAGCCATTTTTGAATTTTTTTCTTCAAAGGTTTTTATGTAGCTGTTTTTTGAATTGTCCTTATTGATAATATTAATGTTTCGTTGTTTTGCAAACCACCTGGAGGTTTTTCTTACAACCAGGTAGTATATAAATTTCATGAAATTAAATCAATTAATAAAAACTTGGGAAGGTTGGCTTTCGAATTCAGACTTTGAGATTCTGAAAGATTTGTGCAGCTGTCTGACCTGTGTATGTGCCCCAGCAGTTGCATATCTGGATGCATTTTGCCGTGGCTCATTTCACAGAACCATAGGATTGTAGAGTTGGAGGGGACCTCAAGGGTCATCTAGTCCCACCACAGAACCCTTGTGCCCTTTGCTCCTCTTCCTTCTGCCCTGCCCTGCCCTGCCTTACCTCTAAGCTCCGCTGCAACTTCCCCAGCTCAAACTGAAGGCTGGTGCTCTCTTGTAACACTTTCTCCCGAAGGCTCTTCTCGAAGGCGGATTCTCCCAAGGCCTGAGCCAGCTGCAGGTCAAATCTGACAGAGGCAAAAGGTCTCATGAGTTGGCCCTCCATCACTCCCAGCAGGAAGTCCCACAGCAGGGCAAAGATGCAGGCCGGGAGCTGCCGGGTCTTGGCCAGAGCTGTAGATGGCCACACATGAATCTTGACCTGGAGAGGACGATCGTGGCCTCAAAGTCCTTAAGGACAGTTGCTGGAGCCAGGACCCGCTTGCAAGCCCAGCTTTATTGCAATTTTGTTTCATATATTTTAAAATGAATGTGAAATATATTAGGTGGGTTTAGGAACACAAACACACATATACACACATACCACCTGAGTATTATTATTATTATTATTAGCAGCAGCAGCAGCAGCAGCATTTATATCCCACCTTTTCTCCAAGGAGTTCAAAGTGGTGTACATAGTCCTCCTCGCCCCCATTTTATCCTCACAGCAACCTGGTGAGGTAGGTTAGGCTGAGAGAGGCAGATACAGGCCCAAGGTCACCCAGTGAGCTTCACGGCCGAGAGGGGATTTGAACCTGGGTCTCCCAGGTCCTTGTCTAACACTCTTAACCACTAGACCGCATTGGCTCTCCTAGACCAGGCCATAAACCTTTCCACAGCACCTTATGTAGCCTAACCAACTGCAGGATTTGGGTGGCAACTACAGCAGGCTGAAGCAGAAGCTTTGCTGGGGACTTAGAAGATTTGGGGCACTGACCCATAGACCGACCTTTGAATAAAACGTGTATATGCTGCTAGCTTAATAGGTATAGATGTAGATTTAGAGCGTGAATGTCGTAGGAGGAAACAACTAATTTCCAGTCCAAATTCGCCCAAATATAATCACTTCAGATCACCGCCCCCCAAAAGCTTCTCTTCAATCTGTTTTCCCCAATGAATTTCCTAGCAGATCCTGTTCCAAATCAATTTGATTAGTTTTTCATTGCCCACCCCCAAATAACCTCTAGATAAGGTCATCTTAAATGCATTTATTTCTCCAAAACCGTACAACAATCCAAATTCATTACCTACCCAGTAACACATTGGGTGCTCAGGAAGAGATCTGAGGACCCTGCTGCCTGGCCCCAGCACCCTAACTCCCCAGTCCAACACCCACATCTTACTTCTTCTGCTTCTTCTCCAGCTCATGGTTCCGGCTTTGCTGGCTTTCCATCAACACTCGTGTATCTCCCAAATCACACGTCAGCTGCTTACACTTTCTTTTCAGCCGCTGCGCTGTCCGCCTGGCACCTTCATACGCCTTCTGGGCCTCACCTAGCTGCAAGGCAGGGAGTGTGGTGGGTTGAGAAGTGAAAACAAGAGAGACCCGCACAGGAGTGTCACATGCTCACCCAATGGATGTGGGCCCCGTAAAACCCCATTGCCACTTGCCCAGTTGCCAAGCAGATGCCTGCAGAAAAAAACCACAAGCAGCTGGTATTGCCCTCTCCCACTGCTTGCCAACAGCAGCTGGAATTCAGTGGTAGCTGCCTCAGACCATGGAGGGTCCATTGGGACAAAACTAGAACTGCGCTAGATCAGGCTAAAAGGCCATTCTGCTTCCCACAGTGGCTGGCCAGGTGGCTGGGAAAACCATAAGCAGGGAACTTAGCCAGTGGCTTTACTCTTCCCTTTTTTCCCAACACCTGGTATAATAACAATAATTTTTTTTAATTTATATCCCACCTATCTTGCTGGGTTTCACAGCCACTCTGGGCTTACAGCATAGATAAAAACACAACAAAGCATCAAACATTAAAAAACAAAATATCCTATACGAGCAACAAACAAACCAATAAACAATTTACAATTATACCCAAATTAAAATAACCACCAACTCCAACTAAACATTTAACCAACATCAACCTGATAAAAACAGAGGAATCAAAATTAGAACCATTTAAAATATTTTAAAACATTTTAGCCAGTTGCCCCATTCCAAGAGTTGTTCCAGCAATGTCCTTCCGGCCTCCCAGGAGCCTCTTTTAGGAAGGATCCCTGAGTAATACTCAGGGATAAACTGCTCCTGAACAGGAGGGTTCTGTCTAGTTATTACAGTATTACAGTCCATCATATAGTTATTACAGTCCATAATTGATTGTTTCATGCGGGTGGAGGTTTCCTGACTATTTATTGAACCATGGCTGTTTTAACATCATGTTGGTAAGCTGCCTAGTGTTTTCTTTGGAACAGAAAGTGCAGGTTGTAGATCTAGGTTGAAAACACAAGTTTAAAAAACCCTCCATGCATTTCTCAAAACCCTTTTTACAAAAGTGTAAGATGCTTTCCTGAGCATGGCAACCCAAATAAAAAATTGCGTCTGTACATTTGAGGTGCTGGGAAGGTCTCAGAGCTCACATCAAAAGCATCTGCTTGGCATGCAGAAGATTCCAGGTTTAAACCCCAAAGGCATCTTCAGATAAAAAAGGATCAGGTAATAGGAAAAGTTGTTTGGGGCTTTTTAATTTAGAGGGGAAAGACCAGTAAAAGGAGGGCATTATAGAGGTGTATATTGCAGTTGGCTGTAGTACCTGGAGAGAAACAGACAGACAGGTTGTGTATCCACAGCAGTGACCAGAGGAGGAATGACCGCTGGGAGAAGAAACGTCCTGGTGCATCTGCAGCAGTACACCTGGACACCTTCATCTGCCCCGGCTGCAACAAAGCATGCCTCTCCAGCATTGGTCTCTACAGCCCCAGCAGGCTCTGTATCTTTCCAACGGTTTGACGTCACCCCCAAAGAAGCACCCCTCCACTGTCTCCCATGACAGACAGGTGCAAACCATAGAGAAAGTATACAGAAATAAGTCTTTCTCCCTCTCTCATCATAATACTAGAGCCCAATGTGATAATCCAATGAAGCTGTGGATTTGCTCCCACAAGATGTGGTGATGGTCACTGACCTGGACGGCTTTAAAATAGAATTAACCAAGTTTATGGATGGGAAGACTGTGGACAGCTACTAGTCCTGAGAGCTATAATCTTTCCTGCCCAAGTACCAGCTGCTGGGGTTCAAACAGGTGGCTGGACGAGATGAGCCTTTGATCTAACTTAGACGGGCTCTTTTCTGTCCTTATGCAACCTCTTTTGTGTCTGGGACCCTGGAGAGTTGCTGCCAGTTACAGTGGATGATGCCAGGCTAGATGGGCAAATAGTCTGGGCTGGTTATCAAGCAGCCTCTATCTCCTTCGAGTAGGAAGCCACATTTCCTGGTGCTTCACTTGTGGGCCAGAATGAAACAAGTGTTCCTTAGGGAGGACAGGTCTTCCCTTTTCACTAGAACTCATGTCCTCCAACCTCTACAAAGAAGGTGACAGAGAGAGCAATTGCTATTAAGGAGTCCCTTTAAATAAGCTGAATGTTGAATTAATGAAGCCAGTAATTCCAGACAAGTGCCTGAATGCAAATGGGTTGTTTGCCTTCACCACAGCCCTCCAGAATGACGGAAGCTTCGTTACTTTTTAATGTGCCATGAATTTATGTAGTTATTCTTGCCCATTCCTTCAGCCTGGGGATCATCAGCAGTTCTTCAAGGCGGCTTTGGGCTGGAAAGCAAACCGCAAGTCCACCCAGGTTTATTTTTAGAAGGCAGGCATCTGCCCTACACGGAGTCAGAGCATCAGTCCGTTTAGCTCTGCTTCTGTGCTGTCTGCTCCCTGGGCTCTCAGGCTGGGGTCTTTTCCCAGACCTCCCTGGAGATGCTGCCACGGATGGAACCGCAGGAACCAGGGACTCTTTGCATGCAAAGCAGGTGCTCTAAACTCTGAGCTACAGTCCTTCCCTAAAAGCAAAGATCCCAGTGCTCATGGTTCCAAATAAAAGGCTGATTTGAAAAGGGATCTCAGAAGCTGCCTTCTCCTGAGTCCAGCAATTGGCCCATTTGCCTCCACTTTGTCTGCAACGACTGGCAGAAGCAGCTCTCCAGGGTTTCCTGCAGGGGACAGTCCCAGTCCTTCCTGGAGATGGAGACAGGGATGGAACCTGTTACTTTCTGCATGCAAAGCCAGTGCTCTTCCATGGAGCTACAGCCTTCTTCATCACAGATGCCCTGAGGTGATCTCATGGCAATGCTTGCATTATTTGAGAGGGGCTTTAATGAAATCTGCAAGCCCCAGCCCTAAACATGTTTCTCTTTTCACACACACACTTAAAAGTCCTCTAAAACGGTACCTAAAGGAGCCAGCAATGCTTATATTTTGTGTAATATTAAGAACATAAGGAGAGCCTGCTGGATCAGGTCAAGGGCCAATCCAGTCCACCTTCCTGTCTCACAGTGCCTCACTGGATGCCCCAAAAGGAAACCCTCAAGTAGGATTTGAGCAGAAAAGCAACTCTCCCCTCCTCTCTTTTCCAGCAACTGGTATCCAGAAGCATCACTGTTTCTGACCATGGAGGCAGAGCAGAGCCATCTTGACATCCTGACAATATGCTCTCATTAAGTGCTAGCTGGGGCTGGTGAGAGTTGCAGTCCAAAACATCTAGACAGACAAGGTTAGGGAAGGTTGATCTATACCAATTGTTTGCACTGGGAGTTGAATCATTTCTCTGGGCTTCTATAAACTGTGGTATACAGAATAGTCCAGGCCAGTGGGCACCATTAACTACTGTGTCAAAGGCATAAAGCCAACAGGGACTAAGACCCAGAAGGAGTAGCAAGCCAGCAGGGAGAGAATAGCCCTTTTCTCACTGTGGGAAGTCCACAGACAGGAGCTGAGCACAAGAGCAGTCCTCTCCCTTCCTGTGGTTGCCAGCAACTGGTGTTCAGAAGCATTGCTGCCTCTGACTTTGAAGGCAGAGCATAGCCATTGTGGGTAATAGCTATCAAAAGCCATGAATTTGTCCAATTCCCCTTTAAAGCCATCCAAGCTGATGGTCATCACTGCCTCCTGTGGGAGTGAGTTCCCTAGTCTAACTATGCACTGCCTGACATCCAAGGGCAGCTTCAGGAAGACTCTCATGACAGGCTCAGTGATCTGCACATGGGAGCCCACTGGGGGGAAATGTAAACACACGGCCCCACTCCAGCCAATGCTCCTTGGCCTGCCTTTTGTTCCAGCTCCTTTTTGGATGTCTGCTCCGCCTCCAGCCTTTCCTCCAGCTGTGTGATTCTTTTCCGGAGAAATCCAATCTCAGTCTGTGCACAGTCCAGGCGCATCTGCCATTCATCTCCTGTTAATGCCAAAAGAGACACATTTACATTGCACATCCAAACTGCTCAAATAAAGTCCACGCAGATGCTGCTGCACCCAAGCAGGCACAACAAAATGGCTTGTGGTCACAGGATTTTCAGGGGACCTAGTGAAGTGCTGTGTTATTAGAGAAGTGTCAACCAGGGTCCTGAGCTGTAAAGGGCAGCTGTTTACAGGAAACTGTTTAGTTTAGAGAAAAAGTGAGAAGAGGTAACATGATACGAAAAGTGTTGGATGTAATTCATTGGTGCAGTCAAATGCAATGTTCTTTGTTTCCCTAGAGTGGGCACGGGCAGGGGGACATCCAGTCTGGGTAACTTCCTGTCCCACTCGTCTGGAGCTTTCTCCTCCTGCATGTGACCTGGGAGATGGACGTGGCTCTGACTGACTCCATAAAAGAGCCGAGTCACGGAGCCATTTTCTCAGTCTGTTTTGTCTTTCTATTGTCTTGCTGCTCTTTTGCTGCCATGCTGCTGTCCTGCAGCCATTTTGTAATTTAATTACATTTTGTAATGTAATTTTGCTGTCTGCTGACTCTCAGCCAACAGTGCATGAGTTCAGTCTCCATATGAGATGATCTCACACTTTGTTTGTGTAAGTACCAAGTAAAACCTGCCTTTCAGGGATCAAATCATGAACTGAAATGTGAGTAAACTTTTTGTTACTTTACTCAGACTCTTGTGTCTTTATTCTTTTAAGAGGGATCAAAGGGGACACAAGGAAATAATCTTAACTAGGAGATTCAAAGGAATCCCCAAACTAGCTTTTAGCTATATTGAGGGGAATCTGCTCTGCTACAGCACTTACTAGTGTGAGTAATAGTTATTCAAAAGGATAATAGTTATTCAATATGTCCTTTCCTACTATCCTTAACATTGCCACAAAAAGTGGATAAAAAGTGGATAGAGGGGAAAAAATTCTCCACCTCTTAGAGCACCAGAATGTGTGGATGTCTAATGAAGCTGAATGCTGGAAAATTCAGGACAGATAAAAGAAATAATTTTTTTGGGACATCTTGGTTAACCCAGTAAAGGTCCTTATACACTTTCTAACATTTTTATTTAATGGTTCTGATAAAATGGAGCACTCTGCTTGAAGGCAGGGTACCCAGCCTGGTCCCCTGAAGATGATGCTGAACTACAACTCCCATCAACACTGACCACTGGGCATGCTAGCTAAGGGGCTGATGGGAGTTGGGATCCAACAATATCTGGCTTAAAGGGGCATCCTGTTTTCCTTTCAAAATAGCCCCATTGATTTGAAATGGCCTTGAACAGAGATGCTGAAAGGTAACAGAATCATAGAATGGTAGAATTGGAAGGTATCCCCAAGGGTCATCTAGTCCAAGTCCCTGCAATGCAAAAATCACAGCTAAAGAATCCCTAACAGATGGTCTTCCACACTCTGTTTAAAAACCTCCATGGAAGGAGAATCCACCACCATTCAAGGGAGTCCATTCCACTCCATGGTGTCATGGACTGGGGGGGGGCGGTGCAGAGAAGTGGTGGGAGGCACCAACTGGGGAAACCCCAGGGGAAGAAGGCTCAGAGCCAGGGGGTTGGTGGTGGGACAATGAGTGGTTGGAAGAAGAAGAGGGAGCAGACTGGGAGGAGGAGGTGTCAGAGGCAGAAGACGTAACAGGGTTTAGTGAGCAGGAAGTGGCTGTGGTAGAGAGCAGTTCAGACTCTGAGCCTGAAGTGGAGGCTGGAGAGGAGGGTGGCTAAGAAGCAGAGCTGAGTCAGGCAGATGAAGAATCCAGGGAGTCTCCCCCTCCTGCTACAACCCAACCCCCTGGTCTCCTAGAACATGCAGAGAAGTGAAAAGAGCAGAGCAGAGATTGGTTGTGCACAGAGGCAGTTGGCGACTGCTTGGGAAAGACCCTGGAGAGCAGGAGCCTCAGAGAGCAGTGGGAAGAGTGCTGCCTCACTGAGGCAATACCTACTGGAAAGAGTGCTGGGATCACTAGGCCTGCACAGTTTTGGTTTCTTTGAATAAAGAGTTTTCACTGAAACCATGTTTTTTATTGCTGACCTATGCTTGACTCCAGCTCTTGACACATGGCTCTTACTGTCAGATAGTTCTTCCTACAGTTGAGTTGGACTCTCCTTTCTTGCAATTTGAATTCATCTTTCCCTCTGAAGCAGCAGCAGCAACAGAAAACAAGCTTCTTCCACCTTCCAGGCGACAGCCCTCCAGGTATTCAGTCTCCTCTTTTCCAGGCTACCCATACACTCCCTCAACTGTTCCTCATAAGGTTTGCTTTCTAAACCCTTCATCATCTTGGCCACCTTCCTCTGCACAAATTTCAGCTTGTCAATATTCGTCTTAAATGATAGCAATGATGCTGACACATCAGAATCCGCTGCACTAAACTTGTGAGATAGTTTGATGGAGTTCCTTGATCTACATGGTTGCAGGGCTTAAGCACATGTGGTGGGAACACAACTGAAAGCTAATGGCTTAAAATGGTATGACTTCAGAAGCTGGTGCAAATTGCTGAATGGTACCACCTGTATCACAGAAGTAGTGTTTGGATTGAAATATCGCAGGCCAGCTCTGTCATTAGGCAGAGTGAGCAAGTGCTTCAGGGGGTAGATGGTGGGGGGGCAGTGGTGGCATCCCTTAACTGTTCCTTCTGAACTTCCTGGCCATTCATCTCCATCAGCAGGCAGAGCTATGCATGTCACACAGTTTGCTATGCACCCCCTAAATTAGTCCACTGCTTCAGGTATGAATCCTGTTGCTTGTGCTGTTGATGTAAGATTCAGGTGCCAGCACAGTTGGCTTCTGTATGCAGGAAGAAGGCCTTTGCTCCCATTTTGAAGTGGATTTGCCATAACTTCAGCCACCTAAAGCAATTTCCCCACAAATTAGGAGCCTTTGCACATCTCCGCACAGTCTTGGTACCGGGGATTGCGGGGGGGGGGGGGAGTTGAGGAAATAAAACTCAGCTCCTTTCTCTCTCAACCTTCACAATAACCTTAGCTGTTGTGTGCGGACACTGAAACACCAATTCGCAAGGCTTCCTGAGCAATCTGCTGCTACAAAATCTGCCTGACATATCTGGAGCACAAATTCTCCAGGGCAGCCAAGATGAGGTTTTATGCAAACTGACATACTCTCAGCACCACCCTGCTGCCTCTCTCCAGTCAGAATGACGAGGAGAGACAGATGTCACTCCTGAGAACTGTTGGATGGAGCAATCTGGAATGATGGCAGAGAGAAAAAAACAGGGGAGGGAAGCAGGCGACTAAGTTACAAGGAGGCTGGAAATTAAGGCTTAAGGGAAGGAATGGATTTGGAAGGAAGGAAGAAAATGACATCTCAAAACACAACTTTTTGGTTACCTAAAATATGGTCCAGAATTTCAGAGAGTGAACTTAGACTTGGAGGAAGGAGATGCCATGAAGTAAGAAAGCCTGCCATTTGAAGGATGCCCCCTACCTTTGCCAGAGCTGCTTGCCCCAGTTTCGTGCAAATGAAGCTGCTGCTGTGCCTCTTCCAGCTGCTTCTCTGCCGACTCCAGCTTCTTCTGCAGTTGGTCATGCTTGGTCTGAAACAGAAGAGTGACTCAGAAGGCCTGCTCCACATGCTGCACAGCCATTGTGCTCCTTGCAGGCTCTCAGGGACCAGGGTTTCCCACAGCAATCCCAGAAGAGCCCAAGTGCCAAGTGTGTGTCCTTAAAAGAAAGCTCCAGTCAATCCCTCAAAAATATACACAGGTGTTAAGGGAGGGCTGGTACATTTGAACCCACATTCATGTCCACCACCCACAGCTGCTCCCACGGAGCCTCTCAAGAGGTTAAGGATCTTTTAATAATAATAATAATAATAATAATAATAATAATAATAATAATAATAATAATAATAATAATTAATAATAAAACAACAAAACAATTTATTCTTTATACCCCACCCATCTCACTGGGTTTCACCAGCCACTCTGGGTGGCTCCCAACAGAATATTATTATTATAAATATTAATAATAATACGACAAAACATCAAACATTAAAAACTTCCCTAAACAGGGCTGCCTTCAGATGTCTTCTAAAAGTAAGATAGTTATTTATTTCCTTGACATCTGATGGGAGGGCGTTCCACAGGGTGGGCACCACTACCAAGAAGGCCCTCTGCCTTGTTCCCTGTAGCTTCGCTTCTCACAGTGAGGGAATTGCCAGAAGGCCCTCGGAGCTGGACCTCAGTGTCTGGATAGAACAATGGGGGTGGAGGCACTCCTTCAGGTATACTGGGACGAGGCAGTTTAGGGCTTTAGAGGGCAGCACCAACACTTTGAATTGTGCTCGGAAACATACTAGGAGCCACTGCAGGTCTTTCAGGACTGGTGTTATATGGTCTCAGCGGCCACTCCCAGTCACTAGTCTAGCTGCTGCATTCTGGATTAGTTGTGGTTTCCGGGTCACATTCAAAGGTAGGCCCACATAGAGTGCACTGCAGGAGTCCAAGTGAGAGATAACCAGAGTATGCACCACTCTGGCGAGACAGTCCCCGGGCAGGTTGGGTCTCAGCCTGCTTACTAGATGGCGCTGGTAGGCAGCTGCCCTGGATACAGAATTGACCTGTGCCTCCATGGACAGCTGTGAGTCCAAAATGACTCCCAGGCTGCGCACCTGGTCCTTCAGGGGCACAGTTACCCCATTCAGGACCAGGGAGTCACCCAAACCTGCCCACCATGTCCCCCCAAAACAGTACTTCTGTCTTGTCAGGATTCAGCCTCAATCTGTTAGCCACCATCCATCCTCCAACCGCCTCCAGACACTCACTGTGCTGGTCCCGGGGGGAGGTTACCATGAGGCATGGTCAGAGTCCGGTCCTGGGTCAAGGGTCTAGAGACAGTCTACAAAGGGCGAAGCGGGATCCGAAGCAAGAAGCCGGGCGTGGTCGGGAACTCCGGAAGAACAGGACTGGGAGCTAGCAGAAGCAGGTTTCCAGCGACGTTGCTTCCGCAACCTGGGACCGGGCTGACTGGCCTTTATCTTCTCTGAAGCCAGGGGCGGTCCCGGCCCACAGGTGACCCACCTCTCCTGGCCTTAAGGCTAGCTCTCCTCCTGAGAGAACCCAGTTCCCTCCGCCTCTCTGCCCTGAGCCTCTGCAGCTCAGGAGAGGCTGGAGGGTTACTGGACCCAGGGGGAGGCTCACCTTCCCCTGACAGGGCTGGGAGAGGTGCACCTGTAGGCAATGGGCCCTCAATCACCTCCGGAGCCCGAGTGGATTCATCTGGTGTCTGCTCCTGAGGATCTGGCACAGGTGCAGGTGCTTCAGATTCAAGGCCCTGCCCCGACTCAGCTGGCCCTGGAGGCAGGGACTCCTGTGCAGGCTGGGATTCCTCCGGTTCAGCCTCTGAATCAGATTCCCAGGCCATCACACTCACACAGGACCTTCATTATCTTCACTGGTTCTGATTTAGAAGAGAGATAGAGCTGGGTATCATCCGTATACTGATGAACACCCAGCCCAAACCCCCTGATGATCTCTCCCAGCGGCTTTATATAGATGTTAAAAAGCATGGGGGAGAGGACAGAACCCTGAGGCACCCCACAAGTGAGAGCCCAGGGGTCTGAACACTCATCCCCCCACCACCACTTTCAGAACACGGCCCAGGAAGAAGGAGCAGAACCACTGTATAATAGTGTCCCCAGCTCCCAGCTCCTCTAGACAGTCAAGAAGGATTCTATGGTCAATGGTATCAAAGGCCACTGAGAGATCCAGCAGAACTAGGAAACAGCTTTCACCTTTGTGCCTAGCCTGCCAGAGATCATCAACCACTGCGACCAAGGCAGTTTCAGTCCCATGATGAGGCCTGAATCCTGACTGGAAGGGATCCAAATGGTCCGCTTCTTCCAGGCGTGCCTGGAGTTGTTCAGCAATCACACACTCAATCACCTTGCCCAAGAATGGAAGATTTGAGACCGGGTAATAGTTGGCCATATTGTTGTTGTTGTTTAGTCGTTTAGTCGTGTCTGACTTTTTGTGACCCCATGGACCAGAGCACGCCAGGCACTCCTGTCTTCCACTGCCTCCCGCAGTTTGGTCAAACTCATGTTGGTAGCTTCGAGAACACTGTCTAACCATCTTGTCCTCTGTCATCCCCTTCTCCTTGTGCCCTCCATCTTTCCCAACATCAGGGTCTTTTCCAGGGAGTCTTCTCTTCTCATGAAGTGGCCAAAGTGTTGGAGCCTCAGCTTCACGATCCGTTCTTCCAGTGAGCACTCAGGGCCGATTTCCTTCAGAATGGAGAGGTTTGATCTTCTTGCAGTCCATGGGACTCTCAAGAGTCTCTTCCAACACCATAATTCAAAAGCATCAATTCTTCGGCGAGCGGCCTTCTTTATGGTCCAGCTCTCACTTCCATACATCACTACTGGGAAAACCATAGCTTTAACTATACGGACCTTTGTTGGCAAGGTGATGTCTCTGCTTTTTAAGATGCTGTCTAGGTTTGTCATTGCTTTCCTCCCAAGAAGCAGGCGTCTTTTAATTTCGTGACTGCTGTCACCATCTGCAGTGATCATGGAGCCCAAGAAAGTAAAATCTCTCACTGCCTCCATTTCTTCCCCTTCTATTTGCCAGGAGGTGATGGGCCCAGTGGCCATGATCTTTGTTTTTTTGATGTTGAGCTTTAGACCATATTTTGCACTCTCCTCTTTCACCCTCATTAAGAGGTTCTTTAATTCCTCCTCACTTTCTGCCATCAAGGTTGTGTCATCTGCATATCTGAGGTTGTTGATATTTCTTCCAGCAATCTTAATTCTGGCTTGGGATTCATCCAGCCCAGCCTTTCGCATGATGAATTCTGCATATAAGTTAAATAAGCAGGGAGACAATATACAGCCTTGCCGTACTCATTTCCCAATTTTGAACCAATCAGTTGTTCCATACCCAGTTCTAAATGTACCTTCTTGTCCCACATAGAGATTTCTCAGGAGACAGATGCAGTGATCAGGCACTCCCATTTCTTTAAGAATTTGCCATAGTTTGCTGTGGCCTACACAGTCAAAGGCTTTTGCAAAGTCAATGCAGCAGAAGTAGATGTCTTTCTGGAACTCTCTAGCTTTCTCCATAATCCAGCGCATGTTTGCAGTTTGGTCTCTGGTTCCTCTGCCCCTTCGAAATCCAGCTTGCACTTCTGGGAGTTCTCAGTCCACATACTGCTTAAGCCTTCCTTGTAGAATTTTAAGCATAACCTTGCTAGCGTGTGAAATGAGTGCAATTGTGTGGTAGTTGGGGCATTCTTTGGCACTGCCCTTCTTTGGGATTGGGATGTAGACTGATCTTCTCCAATCCTCTGGCCACTGCTGAGGTTTCCAAATTTGCTGGCATATTGAGTGGAGCACCTTAACAGCATCATCCTTTTAAATTTTAAATGGTTCAGCTGGAATAATATCACTTCCACTAGCCTTGTTATTAGCAGTGCTTTCTAAGGCCCATTTGACTTCACTCTCCAGGATGTCTGGCTCAAGGTCAGCAACCACACTACCTGGGGTTTGCGAGCCATCCATATCTTTCTGGTATAATTCCGCTGTGTATTCTTGCCACCTCTTCTTGATGTCTTCTGCTTCTGTTAGGTCCTTACCACTTTTGTCTTTTATTATGGTAATCTTTGTACGAAATGTTCCTTTCATATCTCCAATTTTCTTGAACAGAACTCTGGTTTTTCCCATTCTATTGTTTTCCTCTATTTCTTTGCATTGCTCGTTTAAGAAGGCCTTCTTGTCTCTCCTTGCTCTTTTTTGGAAATCTGCATTCAATTTCCTGTATCTTTCACTATCTGCCTCACATTTTGCTTGCTTTCTCTCCCCCGCTATTTGTAAGGCCTTGTTGGACAGCCACTTTGCTTTCTTGCTTTTCATTGGGATGGTTTTCATTGCTGCCTCTTCAGTTTTAGCTTGAATTTTGCTATAAGAAGCTGATGATCTGAGCCACAGTCAGCTCCAGATCTTGTTTTTGCTGACTGTATAGAGCTTCTCCATTTTTGGCTGCAGAGAATATAATCAGTCTGATTTCGATGCTTGCCCATCCCATCTGGTGATGTCCATGTGTAGAGTCGTCTCTTGTGTTGTTGGAAAAGAGTGTTTGTGATGACCAGCTTGTTCTCTTGGCAGAACTCTATTAGCCTTTGCCCTGCTTTGTTTTGAACTCCAAGGCCAAACTTGCCAGTTGTTCCTTTTATCTCTTGACTCCCTACTTTGGCATTCCAATCCCCTTATAATGAGAAGAACATCCTTCTTTGGTGTCACTTCTATAAGGTGTTGTAAGTCTTCATAGAATTGCTCAATTTCAGTTTCTTCAGCACCAGTAGTTGGTGCATAAACTTGGATTACTGTGATGTTAAAAGGTCTGCCTTGGATTCGTATTGAGATCATTCTATCATTTTTGAGATTGCATCCCAGTACAGCTTTCGCCACTCTTTTGTTGACTATGAAGGCCAATCCATTTCTTTTACAGGATTCTTGCCCACAGTAGTAGATATGATGGTCATCTGAGCTGAATTCCCGTCCGTTTTAGTTCACTGATGCCCAGGATGTCAATATTTATTCTTGCCATCTCATTTTTGACCACATCCAACTTACCAAGGTTCATGGTTCTTACATTCCAGTTTCCTATGCAATATTTTTCTTTACAGCATTGGACTTTCCTTTCGCTTCCAGGCATATCCACAACTGAGCGACCTTTCGGCTTTGGCCCAGCCGCTTCATCAGCTCTGAATCTACTTGTACTTGTCCTCCGCTCTTCTGCAGTAGCATGTTGGACGCCTTCCGACCTGAGGGGCTCATCTTCCAGGGTCATAACTTTTATATGCCTGTTTTGTCCACAGAGTTTTCTTGGCAGGGATACTGGAGTGGTTTGCCGGTTCCTGCTCCAAGTGGATGACATTTGGTCAAAACTCTCCACTATGACCTGTCCATCTTGGGTGGCCCTACATGGCATACCTCATAGCTTCTCTGAGTTATTCAAGCCCCTTCTCCACAGCAAGGCAGTGATCCATGAAGGGGGTTGGCCATATTGGCTGAGTCTAAAGATGTTTTTTTAAGAAGTGGTTTAATGACCGCCTCTTTCAGCGGGTCTGGGAGGGCTCCCTCACAAAGGGAAGCATTCACCACCCCGCAGAGCCCATCGCCCAGCCCTTCCCAGCTCACTTTTATGCGCCAGGATGGGCAAGGATCAAGGAGACAGGTGGTCGGTTTCACTTGTCCAAGCCGCCTGTCCTCATCCTCAGGGGTAACAGATTGAAATTGATCCCATACAACTTGACTAGACAGCACTCTCTCACTCCCATGGTAGAGTCTACCTCTGGTAGAGTCTACCTCTTTCTGAATCCGAGCGACTTTATCTGCAAAAAAACTTTGCAAAATATTGTAGGAGATTTTGGGGTCCTTACTGGGCCCCAATGGCGAAGGTGGTTCCGTTACATTGTGAACCACCTGAGAGAGTCTCCTGCTGCTGTTTTCTGCAGATGCAATAGAGGCGGTGAAGAAGGTCCTCTTTGCTGTTGCTATCGCCACTTGGTAGGCTCGATGTTGAGCTCTAACCTGTGTCTAGTCCGATTCAGAATGAGTTTTCCACAATGATATGGAAGAATTTAAAAAATACTGGGAACCCTTTATGTTGTATTTACAGAAATACTGTAAAGAAATGGATTCACTAGCAGGGTTTGATTAAACACTTACAAGTGAGAAAATAAGACCAAAGGTTAAGTAAGGATAACATGGAACGAAATTGAAATGTAAGATGTAATTATGAAAGAAATTTTGACATAAAACTGAAAAGAAATTAAGAGCATTAAGGTATATGAATATAAAAATGAGATAATAATTAAGCAGAAGTAGTAAATATTTAAAGAACCAGAAGGCGAAGTTGAGGGAAGTCATGGTGGGGTGGGGTGTCTTTTTCTTTTACAGTATATGACAAATGTTACATTGTGTTGTTTGAGTGACTATAAAATTGTAAAAATCCAATAAAATTATTTTTTAAAAAACACAGAGTGAGAGTCTGCCACCGCATCACCATCTCAAAGTGATTATTTCATCACCCTCAGCCCTGGAGAAAACCACGGGGCTGTCCAGGCTCCGTGCAATCAGAACTAGACAGTCGATAGCCCTGGTTAGCTCCGCATTCCAGCGGGCCACCAGGGAATCAGCTGAAAGGCCATCAACATGGGATAAAACTTCCCCTACCAGTCTCTGGAAACCATTTGGATCCATTAAGTGGCAGGGGCGGACCATCCAAGTGGCAGGGGCGGACCATCCACCTCCCTGCAGAGGGGAACGGTCACAGAGAAGTCCAGTTGCACCAGGAAGTGATCCAACCATGGCACTTCTTTAGTTTCACTTTTACTCAGTGTCACCCACATCCATAGAGGTGAACACCAGGTCTGAGGCATATCCACGACTATGAGTTGGGCCAAACTTATTCAGGGACAGCCCCATGGAGGTCATGCTTTCCATGAAGTCCCAAGCGGCCCCTTGTAAGGTCATGTTGGCATGGATGTTAAAACCCCCTAGAAAAACCAAACTAGATGTCTCCAGGAGAACATACGCAATGACCTGAAGCAGCTCGGCCAGGGGATCCTTGGTGCAGCGGGGAGGTCATTACACCAAAAGGAATCCTGTACTGCCCCTATTACCCAACTTCCAGAGCATGCACTCAGAAAACTGGGTCTTCCCAATAGGATGTCTGGTGTAAACTAATGACTTCCTAAAAGTCACTGCAATCCCCCCTCCCTGCTCACATGACCTGGGTTGCTGTGCGTAAAAGAAACCTGGTGGACAAGCAGCAGCAAGAACAGACCCATCTGCTTCATCCAACCAAGTCTCTATTACACATGGAAGGTCAGTCCCAAAGTCACCGTCCAATGGAGTTCCCTGAAGCAGCCAAGCCATGGTTCATCAACAGAGAAAACTGAGCAAACTGAGCAAACAGAGAGTCTCTGGATTGCTTCCCTGTGCCTCTCCACTTGACAAAGAATATGATCCTCACCTGCCCTGAGCCTCATCCAGCTGAGTGCCCACAACCTCCTTCCGGACCTAACATGATCTCCATCTGGTCCACTAGTGAGTTGGGCTGTGTTCCCTTGCCTGCTTTAGTTTCCTTGAGTGCACTTTCTGCTGTTTCCAGAGCCTGCCGTATCTGTGGATATGGGGGTACCTCTGGTTCTGGTGATGTGTCTCATCCCCTGGCTCCTGTGAATTGTCCACTAGCCACTCAACATCCTCTGAAGCCCCATGAGTACCTCCTAAGTCCCCAATCTCCCCTCTTCAGCTGTGCACCAAACATGGCTGCACCCCTCACTGGGATCCGCCTCCCTTTCCTTGGTGTCTTGCCAGCTCATGACACTGGCTTTCTCAGTTGAGCCCCTAAGATCAGCAGATAAGGCTTTGACCTTTATCTGGATCAAGACTTCTTGGAAGTGCACCAGCACTATAGAGCACCATTCCCAGGGACGTTCTACTCCCTCTTTGAACATCAAGCATAAAATTGATTCCCTGCCCCCAGCAGCATATAGGAGAGGAGCCTGGTTTCCAAGTGGCTTGTCAGATGCTGGAAAAAGTGATGAGACTTTAAAATTATTATGACTGAGGGTTCATACAGACTTCCTTTTGTGTCATGTTTCTAGGCAAAGGTCAGGGCTTCAAGGTGCCATGTCTGAGATTTCCTTGCAAAAACCTGTTCTTTACCGCTGAATCAGAGCAAATGGCAATCTGTAGAAAACCAAAATTGCTGTTTGTTCCAATTCAGCATTAAAGAGCAGGTTTCCACTCTGGATTTTTAAATGTCATGCAAACATATCTTCTTTCTCCGACAATGTATAAATGGACATCCCAAGGGGAGGGTCTGCAAAATGTCTTGGGCTGTTTGGGTGAACAGGTTGCTTTTCCTCCATGTCCTGTGGAGAAATTGTGCAAAGACCCAACATACAAGTTCCATCTCGCTGCCCCCCCCCTGCCCTCCCGTTGGGCACATACCTGCAGCTCTCTGACCTCTCTTGACCCTCTCAGTCTTTCAGCTCGTTCACCTTCCAGGACCTGACAGGCAACATCACCTTTCAAGCGTTCATCTGACAGCTCCGTCGTGAGGTCTATGATCTGAAGTGGGGGGAAGAAATGCAACAGGTCGCATGAGGCAGCTCTGAACTTGCTTCAATCAGGCAAGCGGGGGGGGGGGGCGTTGTGCAGTCAAGGGCTCTCTCAAGCATTCCTGGTGTTCAGAAGCACCCAAAATTTAAGCTGCTTTCTTCTTGTTGTATTGCAGGAGGTTGGACTGGATGACCCTTTTGGCCCCTTCCATCTCTACGATTCTATGATTCAGTGTCTTTCATTCCTCTCCATTCGACCCCAGCAGAATCCAGAATGAGCTAAGGCTGCAAATGTTCTTTTTCTAGACATAAAAAGTAAAGCCTCCCCAAGGCCAAACCCTTCACGCAAGTCCCACTCTCTCCCCAATGCATTTTCAAGGACCCCAAATGAAGCAATGACAATGAGGAAGCCCCACGTCTGGGTCTCCATTAGGCTCCAGATGCTGCTGACAATATCTAGGGACCCTGGGAACAAGTGAAAATACATTTCCCATGGTTCCCAACATCCCTAGAGCAAACTGGGGAAAGGCAGGTTAGCCCACAATGGCCTTTATGTAAATAAACAAATTAGCATCTATTTCTATAAGTTAGCTTGTGCAAATATTACACAAATTTCTGTGGTGTGTGTGAGTGAGAGGGAGGGAGGGAGGGAGGGAGGGAGGGAGGGAGGGAGGGAGGGAGGGTGTCGTGGGACAGAGGGAGATATGCCTAAGTGGGACCTTAAGTGAACCTGAGTCTGGATGGGTTGAGGTGGAGTGAACTAGGAGAAATCCCTTCTGCAAAATAAATAAATACAGTGGAAAAACGTTATTCAAAAGCATAGACTTCTGCATAATAAATACAGAGCCAGTTGTAACTTCACTTCAGGGTTGCTGCCATCAGGTGGGGTGCCTACTCTTTAGAGCACCACCCCGCTTCCTGGTGAGAACTCAAACACTCTCCCAAGTTTCTGGACAGACTTGGAAGGCGGTGGGGTATGAGATTCACTGCTTTGCACTTTGATATTATGGCAAGCCAATTTATTGGAGCTTTCTTGTCCCCCTGTGACATTTGGGGAGCACAGGGTTCTCTCTGAAAAGTGTTGCAGCCACTGCTGTGAATATTTGCCCTCCCTTTCTGTGATCCCCATAAGAGTTATCAGTGAGAATGGTTAATAGCGGTAGACTCATAATGTGGTGAACTGGGTTTGCGTCTCCGCTCCTCCACCTGCAGCTGCTGGGTGACCTTGGGCTAGTCACACTTCTCTGAAGTCTCTCAGCCCCACTCACCTCACAGAGTGTTTGTTGTGGGGGAGGAAGGGAAAGGAGAATGTTAGCTGCTTTGAGACTCCTTGTTGTTGTTTAGTCGTTTAGTTGTAAAAGTCCTTTACCTTTACAAATCTTTTCGAGCAATTTTCTCTGATATAACGTATTTTTAAAGTTTATGATTACTTTTATACTCCACCTTCCCTTGAAGCAGCTCAAGGCAGCACACACAATTCTCCCTCTCCCTATTTTATCCTCTGCCCCGAGGTCACCCAGTGAGCTTCATGACTGAGCAGGGACTGTTTGAACCCAGTGTCCAGCACTCTAATCATTCCGCTGAGATTTTTAGTATTACTTTCATTAATATATGCATTTAGTATTTTCATAGAATCATAGAATCATAGAGTTGGAAGAGACCACAAGGGCCATCGAGTCCAACCCCCTGCCAAGCAGGAAATTTTGACAGAGAGCTGTGCTTGGTATGCATATTGTTTCAGGAGCGTAAATTTAGGAAGGTTTACATTTTAATGGAAGCCAAACCAAATATCTTCACCATCCCTAGGGAGTGGTTACATTAGAAATGTTCAATCCAAGTCGGTTTTCTTTTCTGCCCCATCATAGTTGCTTTTGGGATTCTAGCTGCTCCCTTCTCTAGCACACCTTCATGGGGACACAGCGTATGGGGCACAGGAAAGGCCATAACTCAGCTGCAGAGCATGTCTTCAGCAAGTCCCTGGTTCAGTCCCTGGCATCCAGGGGGGCATAGCATGGGGGCTGCTAGGGTGAGCGCCCCAGGCTCATGGGGGGGCGTGCTGCTCATGCCACCCTCCCCAAGCCAGTCCTGTGCCACTTTATGATCAGATCCCAGCCTCCCAAACGGCTTAGGGAGGGAGGTGTGAGAAGGATGCAACAGCCTTGCACCCTTCGATCCCAGCCTGAATTGGGTGTGCTAGGCATCTCCATTTGGCCAAACCGCCCTCATGTGCCCCCCTGACATCACAATGGCTTCAGGAATGGGAGGGTAGATAAAATTCTGACTGTGCCAAAAGGGAGATCAGCGGTTTCAGGCATGATCACTGAATAGTACTTCCTCCTGAGATAATAATAATAATAATAATAATAATAATAATAATAATAATAATAATAATAATTTATATCCCACTCTCCCCAGCCGAAGCCGGGCTCAGAGCGGCTAACAACAGTCAACAGTTTTAAACCACGTAAAATGACAGAAATAAGGTGGGTCCTGGAAACATACATACAGTAGTTTTCCAAGTGTCAGAGGCAGAGGCACGAAGTTGCATCTTGAGCATTTGCCAGAAGCTGAGTGTAGACTAATCTATACTGGTGAGTTAAATGTTAAAAATGTGTGGTAAAATGTGACACCAGAGGGCACTGCAGAGCAGTGATCAGTTGCCAATGAGAAATTGCATTGGGGACTATAGTTTTTTAATAGTGTGTTTTAAATAGCATTTTCCAGATCAGTGTAAATCCAGCCTGTATTATGAAGGTGCTAGATGCACCTCTGTGGGAAGGAGTTCCACAGCCCAGGGTTGCCATGGAGAAATGCACACTAAAAAGCTGCTGAATTTTCATTAAGACTTCTCTTTTTTTAAATGTGAACTGTGCACTGCTCTGGTTTCACCAGAAGCGGCTTAGTCCTGCTGGCCACATGACCCGGAAAAACGGCTCCCTCGGCCAGTAATGTGAGATGAGCGCCGCAACCCCAGAGTCATTCAAAACTGGACTTAACTGTCAGGGGTGCCTTATCTTTACCTTTTTGTGCAGAACTGAACTTAAGATGAGAAAAGCACAAAATGGACAGAAACTGAAATTGCCAGGGCCATCCATCCCTGCAGGCTCTGCCATCCAAAGTTTGGGGAAACAGAGGAGTAATTATTATGCATGTTGCATTCAACAAGAGGCCTGTCACATTTCGATCTACAACCACTTTCACTGCTGCAACTTGTTCTCCCAAAGGAGGTTGGGAGCCACTGCTGCAGATGAGCCTTTTCAGGTTGATTCAGCAAGTCTCTTCATTTTATTTATTTAATGAGAGCATTTGAACTGGGCTGTTCACCCCAAAAAACCTTCCAGAGCAGCTTACACACAACCAGCAAAAACAAGACAGTGCCTGCCTGCAGGCCCAAAACTAAAAAGCAGAAAGGAACAGGGAAGGAAGGCAGGGGAGAATCACTCTCAAATGCCAATTCCTAAACAGTTGTTCTTATAAGGACCAGCTTGAATTATTGTTGTGTGAATTAAGAAAAAAGCAATCTTTGTTTAAACACCTCCAGTGAGGAAGAGTCCACTGCCTTCATTGGAGGTTTTCAAGCCTCCAAATCTATGATCTTGCAACCAGAAGCAGGGACAGAACCTCACACGGTTTCTATTTCTGACCTTGCTTTCCAGCTGTTCTGTGCTCTGCCGAAGCTCCTGCCGTGAAAGTTCTGAATTTTCCAATTTCTTTCGCAGCAATGCCAACTCCTCCTAAAAATGGGGAGAAAGAAGAAAACACACCCTCTTTGAGCCTTCCTGTGCCCTCCATTTGTTTATAGGCTTTGATTCTGTACTTCTCCCCCTCTCAACTGTAAAATCTTTGATTGTATGCTCCTTTTAGGTAGATACCCCCCTTTTGCTTTGCTGTACCTCATAATGTACTTTGATAGTGCAGTATGGATAGAAACTATACATAAACATGAGCACAACAGGGTATGGGAGAATGTGATGCTAGCATCCAATACCAGGATGAAGGTCTACCAGGTTTGTGTGTTGAGCACATTGCTTTATGGAAGTGCAAAACAAGGATGTGCTCTCACAAGCCCACATTCCCAGCATGTTCACACTCCTGTCTCAGTGATGTCTACACTAGCTTGGTCATAGCCACAGAATGGAAGATGTCAGGATCCCCAAGGACGTGCACTATGTGGAGCTGACAAAGATGTGTTACAAAGATGTCTGCAAACATGACATGAAGGCTGGCAATATCAACCATGCCATGTGGTTGCAGTTGCAGACAACTGACAGTGCCAGGAGACACACAAACAGGTGACCAGAGGTGGAATAACTGCTGGGAGGAGCCGCAGAGAGAAGAAACGCCATGGTGCATTTGCAGCAGCACAACTGGATGCCTTCATCTGCCCCGGCTGAAACAAAACATGTCTCTCCTGCATTGGTCTCTACAGCCCCAGAAGGCTCTGCAACCTTCTAGCAGCTTGATCTCAAAGCCAAGGCACCCTGCTCCATTGTCTCCAGAGAGACAGACAGATGCCAGCAGAATACAACATGGATGCATAAATGACAACACTATCCTAGACAATTACGTCCTTGAGCGCCACCAGTTCTACATGCTACATAGTGACAGGATGGTCACAGAATAATTCCCTGATTACTAGTCACGATCACATTATGGAAGGTGTGTGTGTGTGAAAGAGAGAGAGAGAGAGAGAGTGCAGTTGTGTGCTTCAATGATCCCTAGTTGTGTGTCTGGGGTGTGTGCAGGTACAACCACAACAGCACCACCAATGCACCCCCACTTCATGCAATGATTCTTGGAGGCGATGGGACCACCAAGCATCAGCCTTGACAGAGAGGTTTTGCACTTAGTGTGAGCAGAAGTTGGCACTGTGACAAAACCCCACAGCGTTGAATGCTCCTGTTCAAGTGTCCAGCCAGCAACTGTTCCATTCACTTCCCTTCCCATTTTCCATTTCCTTTTCCACAAGGAGTCAGCATTCCATGGTGTCATGTTAGCTACATAAGGAAAACTGAGGTTGCTATGGGTGGATAGCAAGGGTGAGAGTCCTGTGGGCCCCTCCAGGGGCGGCTGGGCCCCAGCTCCTATCATCCTCAACAACCAGCCCATTTGGCTGCTGGGAAGTGGGAAGCCATCACCCACTGAAGGGCAAAGTGCTGGGCGGCAGCCACCTACTGCTAAGAGGGGAGAAATTAAATGGGGTGCACTCGGGGACACCACTGAGGCAAAACGTAAACTAACCCCTGGGGACTCGCCAGTGAGAATCAAGTCCACCTATTCATTTGCCACATGGGTTCTGTCAGGCTTGGTCACACCACAATGCGACAGGATGCTGTGATGAAGGGAAAGTGACATATTTCATTTACAAAATGTTTTAGGTTCAGCAGTTGGCTGGTTGGTCAAATGGCAACAGGTAAGATATAAACAGGCAGGCAGGCAAAGATGCCTTGTATTGGCTCAGATTATTTGTATTTCATCAGAACATAAGAACAGTTCGCGGGAACAGGCCAGCATCCTGACCTCAGAGTAGCCACCCAGGAAACCCCCAAGCAGGATCCAAGCACAAGAGCCCTCTCCTCTCCTGGGGTGTCCAGAAGCATTGCTGCTTCCAGCTGTGGAAGCAAAACTGCTATGGGCAGTAGCCAGTGACAGTCCTCACGTTCTTGAACTTGTCTAATCCTTTTGAAATTGTCTCTTTTGCATCAGCCTGTGACTTGATCCTTCTAACTGAAGTTGCTGCAAACCTGGGACTTCTGCATGCAAAGGAAGTTCCCTTGCCTGTCACAGATCTATGGGCCCTCTGAGACAGCACCTTTTAAGCACTGTTCTAGTAATTACTGAAGTACTGAACATGATGACTTTGGGGTTCTATAATTTCCAGTTCCATATCTCTATTCATTCAATTTCCCCAATAGAGTTGGTGCCGAAAGTATGGAAAAGAATGATATGGACAGTGGCTTTGCTCTGTGGCCCATGGGAGTCCCAGCAGAACCCCTCAGAGGTCTACCTCACCATGTCTGTCCTCACCTGTCCTTCACAGTTGCCACCTACCTCTCTGACTCGGAGCTGACCGTCTGCAAGGCTGGTGCTCAACAGTGGCCGGATGCTACACATCAGTTGCCACCAGGGCCAGCCCTTCACAGCTTGGAAGATGGCCAAGTTCTTCTGGATGCACCGAGCAGCCAAACGCTGAATCTGAAAGGAGAGCAGGAGTCCCCCTCAGAGCCCAGAGGGAGCAAACCATCCCAGGCAGCTGTGGAGAAAGGGAACTCTGCCCTGGGCTAGCCTGGGCACTGGGGCTCAGGTTCAACTACTAAACAGTGGCAGCAAGCATTCCCTCCGCCCAGTCCCACCCCCAACACTGCATGGGGCAGAGAAGAGAGGGGAGATTGTTCTGTCTGGGAAACAGAAATGCTTGTGCTGATGGAGCAAGCATAACAGCACAATTCCTCCCTATTATTTATTTCATAACATTTATACACTGCTTGATTGCTTTTTATAAAAAGCTTGAAGTGATTTACAAAAAGGAGATAACAATGAACTTATCAATAAGAAAAAATAATAGCAATAATTCAAGACTTTCAAAATGTTAAAATAACAGTAGACTTTGTAAACATCTGGGTAGGTTTTCCTAAACAAATATGTTTTTAGCAGGTGCCAAAAAGAGCAGAGCAAAGGAGCCTGCCCGGTAGCACTAGGCAGGGAGTTCCAAAGTGTAGCTGCTGCCACACTAAAAGACAGAGTTCTTATAAATGCAGAACAGGGATTATGGGGCACCCAGAACAATGCCAATTCCGCAGATGAAAGCAGTTGAGTGGGTGCATCTGGCAGCTAAACTGATCCCAAGTTGTTAAGGACTTTATGTAGTAACAGTAACACCATGAACCTGGCCCGCTAGCAAATGGGCAACCAGTGCAGACCTCTGAGCACAGGAATGATATGCTGACAAGGCCTCCCTCCTCTCTGCAATCGTGCTGTAGCCAACTGCAGCTTCCAAAGCAAGCGCAAGGGAAGCCCCTGAAGTAACTGACACAGGAAAAAAGCTGGTTCAGAGTGGAGCAGATGGCCTTCACAGGTGCTGGGTGCTATTTCATTAGGGAGTCTTAAGCTAGGGTTCCCGTATTTCAAAAATTGATTTTTTAATTTTTTTTGCCCAAAGTTGTTTACGACAGCAGAATCACAGCTATGAAGAAGCTGTGGTGGTGGATTTGCTCAGCAGCATCCCAAGAGATGTTAACATTTACCATGACAACAACCCCTGGCTTTGCTAATCTTCAAAGAAGAGGTTACCTTTAATTTCTTATATTTCTGACGGGAGAGAAACCCCTTGCAAGCTGCTTGGAGGAAAATCAGATTCTGAGACACCAGTTTTTCCCTCTGCTTTTCTAGCCTAGAGAGGACTCCAGCTTTCAGGAACACCTGCCCAGAAAGAAAGAGAGAGAAAATCAAGCCACAGGATCCGAGCAGGATAAAAGTCGGGGATGCCAAAGGGACAACTCAAAAGCTGGCATTCATCACAGGGTGAGCTCAGGACCCCCGTTGACTTCCCCTGTACCTGAGTGCGACCCACAGCAATGGTCTTCTTCTCCAAATTGAGGGCCTGGATGAGCTCCTCCAGAGCCTGAAGAGAAAGGGAGAAGACATAGGAATGAAACTCTCCACATCCCCTTTTCTACCCAATAAGCAGAAGCTGGGGGGGGGGAGAATGGGGGCTTGTCCCCCATTATTGATATCTGAATTATCCAAAACCCCTTGCAACCTTCCAATGAGCCCCAGAAGTCTGTGACAGAAGTCAAATCAAACACCAATGGAGCCAAAGATTTCTGTAGTTAAGAAAGGGATTGAACATGGGTCTTCAAGAACAGACCACTTAAAAAATAATAGTTAAAACACATCAAAACACATTTAGAATCAGCAATTAAAATGCAGTTTGACCTTACAGATGCTCAGTGTTCAGGACTGTCTGCACCTCAGTTTCCAAAGTCCTGTCTGGACAGGAAGGCCTTAGCCTGCTGGCAGAAGGATGAGAAACTGGGAGCCTGTCTAGCCTTTCTTGGGATGGGATTCCACAGCATGGAAGTGGCCACAGGAAAGGCTTGCTCTCACCGTGCCTCTGATGTGATGGGACCAAGGGAATTCTGACATTCGTGGGATCAACATGACTATCTTGCCTGCCTTATGTAACCAGCCCAACCCACCAACAGCCTGGCAAAACTTCAAATGAAAGAATAAAACTAAGAATAGGGACAAGCTGCATTCCTCCACCCATACCCTTGATTTCCCCGCAGCACCAAGTAACAACATTGACCTTTTCTGACTGTCAAGATTTTCTTTTTGAAACCTGAAGTCTTAACTGAAATGCACATGCACAGCCTTTGTTGCTCCATGCAGCTCTCTCTCTCTCTCTCTCTCTCTCTCTCTCTCTCTCTCTCTCACACACACACACACACACATACACATCTGCAATTCAGCTCCCAGCTGTGTGATGCCCCCTGAATACACATCAGAAAGAGCAGTTGGTTCACACACAGCCTCATTGCAATTGGGATTTGTAAGGGGGGGGGAGAATCTGTGAAGGAGCTTGCAAAATCCCTCAGAAAATTAGGAGAAGGAGATCAATTCTGCACAGAGGCTTCCATTATGCAGAAGCGGGGGGGGGGCTGAATTTTCAAGAATTTAGCCACTGTTCTTCATCCCTCCTCTTCTTCTTTGTAAGTGGCTGTTTGCTTATATTATAGCCTCTGATCTCTCTGGAGAAATGTATTTTTTGACAGCCACTTGATTATTAATGTCACCTAGTAGTATCAGTTAACACAGAAATAATAAATAATAAAAGAAGTTAATTCATTCTCGTTTATTTAATCCATTTTGTCTGATTTAATCAGTATAATTGGGGAGGGAGTTGAATTAATAGAATTTGGAATTACTTTAATCTTACATGAAATTTTTAGCTTGTAATTTGTCTGCAATTAATCTAACTATGCAATTTGTATTTTCTGATTCTCCTTTTCAGTTATCTTTTCAGTGATTCCCCCCCATATTAATATATATTACTTTCTTTTTTGAGTATAGATATATTTCTCCTCCCCCCCCTTTTTTTAAGGGGATTTATGTTAACAGGTTCTTAATATTCTAACAGATGGTTTCATTATGTCTGTTTATATGGTCTTCCTTATATAACAATCTCTTTTTCTTCCCATTTATTTTTTCTTTTTTATTAGATAGGCACCTTCATAACACAATGATGAGCCAATGCTATTACACCTATAATAGGTAAATAACAATATTTCAGGTGAATGATGATATGGAAGCACATTTCTGAACCTTTATATAACAAGCAATGTTTGTTTATTATTGTTATTGTTATAAGCAGCAGCAGCAGCAGCAGCAGGAAAAACAGCAGCAACTTAGCCGAAATATATTAATATTTCTAAAGTGCCTCTGCTGCCTGTGGTGTCTTTGCTCATCCTCCGCCCATGGCTCACCTTATTTTCATCTGTCATCTCATAGGCTGAGCTGTATTTTTTCATCATTGGCTGAGCCAGGATCTGGAACTGGTGTCGGAACTGCATGCGCACCATACGATCCGCGTACCCTGCAAGGCAAGCAAAAGGGGCATTTGCTGAGGGGCTGAGCAGATTTGGCAAAGGAGAGTCTGGTTCCTCCCAAGGCTCACTCAGTTGCCAGAGGATAAGAAGCCACTGAGGCCACCTCCCAAAGACGGGCAAATCCATCTGTTTCTCTTTCAGTTTCTCATTTTTATAATCTTAAATTCAGTTTGCCACATTCCCACATCAGTTTGCAATTTTAATTTTTAAAAAGTCTCCCTCCAAATTTGAGAGTGTATCTTTCCTAAAGTGCATATTTTCATATGCTGTTTGGCCTTCTGTTCATATACATTTTTGCAAGTAATTTCCCCCAGCATAATGCATTTTCTACATTATTGTCACTAGGGTTTTCATTTTTTTATGCACAGGTATCCCTAATATGTTCATGTTTCATTATCAGGAACCCCTGGCAACCTTCTGGGAAGCCCCAGGAGCCTGTGACATGCACTCAGATCAAACACCAACAGTCTCAAATAGTTCCACAACTAAGTAAGGATTTGAATGTGGGTCTTCCACACTGCCACCAGCAACTAGTGCTCTGACTGCCTTGCTTATCCAAACCAACCCACCAGAAACCTGGCAAATCCTCAAGACCTAACAAATCCTTTTTAAAAGAAATTATTTAGAAACTATATTATAAAAATATTTGTTGGAAATGTAAAGAACATTAAGGGACATTTTATCATGCTTGGTGGACACATAAAAAAGCAAATAAATAAATAAATAAATAAATAGAAATACATACACTGATATGGAGAACATTGAAGATTAATTATCAACTGGAGCCAGAACTCTGTCTGCTGGGACTTATGGATATACAGTTACAAAAGGAATATGGAACTTTGTTTCAATATATGATCACAGCTGCGAAACTTTTACAGGCACCAAGCTAGAAGGACCCATCATTTCCAACAATGGAAGAATGACTGTTAAAACTAAGAGACTTAGCTGAGATGACGAAAATGACATGTTTAATCAGAGAAAAGTCATTATTAACATTTGTTAAAGACTGGAAACCTGTCATAGACTTTTTGCATGAAAAAGAAAAAGAAATAATGATATCTGGATTTGAGGATTGAGCATAATGTTTGTGTATAGAAAGTGGCTTTGTTGGGTGTTATATTGGATTGGACAAAGTGAATAGTGTTTTTATATAGCAGAAGTACTTTACTTTCTAAATCTTATTTTTCTATCTTTTTCTTTTAGCTTCCTTTCTATTCTTTTCCTTTCCTTTTCTTTTTTTCTTTCTCTCGCCTCCCCTTTTTATGTTTTCACTGTATCTAGATAAAAGTTTTAGTTTGGTTTAAAAGGGGGGGAGATATTAAGTTTTTTATTTTTCTCTATAAACCTTAATAAAATTTATTACAAGAAAACAAAAGAAAAGACCTCACACATCTGATGAAAACATAAAACTGAGAGCAAAGATGAACCGTCTCCTTTCCATGCTCCTTCTCTCTTCCCTGCAGTGCAGTGTGATGAAACTGGTGCAGCAAGCACCTCTTTAAAGTAGGTTGACTTCACCACCACTCAGCTGATCCTGGAACTTTGACAGGTGTCAATCACCCAGTGTCATCAGTCCCACCCACCTGCCAAGGTTGGGTCACAAGGAGATGGGGTACTTAGGAATCCAGCCCACTGGCTGGATCCAATTCTCTACTCATGCTACAGCCCTCCAACTTGCATCATTCTTGCCCACAGGCCATGCTGGTTGGGGCTGATGAGAGATGGGAGTCTAACAACATCCAGAGGGCAGCAGGTTCTCCTGCCCTGCTGCAGAGGAGCTGTAACACTCCCTGCACCGAGTCAAGCACCCTAAGAACATAAACAGAGTCTGGCTTCTAGGTCAAGCAAAAGGCAGCCCATCTAGTCCAGCATCCTGTTCTCACAGTGGCCAACCAGTGGCCTCAACAGGAAATCTGTAAGCAGGATCCATGCACAACATCCCTCTCCCCTCCTGTGGCTTCCAGAAACTGGCATTCAGAAACATTACAACCTCCAACTGTGGAGGCAGAGCAGAGCCCTCCTGGTAGGAGCCCTCGATAGCCCTCTCCTCCTCCATGAAATTGACTAATTCTCTTCTAAAGCCATCTGGACTGGTGGCCATCACTGCCTCCTGTGGGAGGAAGTTCTGTAGTTTAACTATGTGCTGCATGAAGAAGGACTATGATTCTATGATTCTATGACTTTCTTTCATCTGTCCTGAGTCCTCCAACATTCAGCTTCTTTGGATGTCCATGTGTTCAAGTGTTATGAGAGAGTGAGAGAGAAATATTCTTCATCCACTTTTTCCATGCCATGCCTCTTTTTATAAATGTCTACCCAGTGAGTAGATGCAGGATGCCCAGCCATTCCATGCAACAGAAACCCTCCTGCACCTATCCTGCTGAGCCGTAATGCATCCAATATCTGGCCCCCGGAGAGCTGGGCTCGAAGGGCGGAGATGTCCCATCCTGCTGCTGTTCCCCCTGGCATCAGACAGGACTGCAGAATGGTGCCTCCTTCTCTGTCCATTTCTGTTCTCGCAATGAGGCAATGGACAAAATGAATCTGGGATCTCTTCACTAGGTTGATGAGAGAATCCTACGGAAGTGGAGAAAAACACAAAGGAATTGAGTTCCTGATCTTCTGCTTGAAGATTATAGACCACATTCACACCATACAAAAGTTGTTATTCCAGAGTTACAATTTCCAGAGAGGGTTAACGATCAATCCCTCTTCACAGGGAACTCTGGACAGTCAACCTCTTTTTCACTTCTCTCTCTTACTCTCTCATCCACCCACCCACTTTTTGCATCTGATTGCAAAGTGCAGGTTTGAATCCCCACTCTTCCATGGAGCTCCCTGGGCCAGTCACTCACTCACAGCCTAACCCACCTCACAGGGTTTTTGTGAGGATAACATGCAGCGGGAAGAAGCAGGTATATTACATGTGCCTTGAGCTCCTTGGAAGAAGGAAGGCGGGATATAAATGCAATCAATCGATAAAATAAACAGGGACAAAAAGCATCATAATGTAGCAAAAAAGTTTCAAATAAAAGCCAACCACACAAATAATAATAAAATCAGCCAGAGCAGCAATAAAAACCACATAGATAACATTCTTAAGGCCACTGACTGTTCACAGAAAAAGTGGCATCAAGTAAATGGAACTGCTAAGCATCTAGAAACACTCAAATAGAAAAATATTTGTTTACTGCCTTGTCAATCAGACTCTCAAGTTGCTAATGCTGTTGTTGTTTTTTTAAAAAAAAACACATTGGAGAAATAATAAAAACCTAACACTCTTAGCGTTACTTGGTTTTCCCTGGTGGGGTTTCAAAAGCAGCCTCCATCCTCTCTTACAAACCGTTGTGCATAATACTCTTTAAAAAAATCATAGAATGGGAAAAGCTCACTAACTGAACACTCCCTGGAAAAATACCAAGGATCACATCCAAAATACCGTATTTACTTGAGTCTAATGTGCCATCGAATCTAATGCGCACCTCAATTTTCAGAACCTTGAAACCAAAAAAAGTATTTGCTAGTGAATGTCAATGTGCCATCAAATCTAATGGCATCTTAATTTTCACAGTGTAATTTGGCCAATAAAGGTGAGCATTAGATTTGAGTAAATATGGTATGTACAACAACTTTCTGTTTCCGTGCGCTGCTCTTAGTCATGCTGGCCACATGACCCGGAAGCTGTACGCCGGCTCCCTCTGCCAATAAAGCAAGATGAGCGCTGCAACCCCAGAGTCAGCCACGACTGGACCTAATGGTCAGGGGTCGCTTTACTTTTACAACAACTTTCACCACATGGTGCCCTCCAGAGGTTTGTCAGCACAGCTGTATGATGCTGAGGCTGATGGAAGTTCAAGTAAGAAAATATGGAAGGCCCCAGGTTGGGGGAGGATAAATGTATTGGTTTGATTGCAGATCCCAAATCTGTGATCCACTGTGTGTGGGGTTAGAATCTATGAGAGGAAACCTGCTGAACCAGTCATAGTAGTTCCTCGGTTAAGGTAAAGCCCTTGGCTGGCCAGTTAAGTACTGTCATTTACTTGCCCAAAGTGATTGCTCTATTGCCATAGAGGAAAATGGGCAGGCCTTTCCCACCTCACTTGGCTGGATGCCACATCATCCTTGTGGGGAGAACAATAAGCCAAGACATGTGGGGTGGGGGGAAGAGTTTTGGCTCATGCTGGAAATTGGAGATTCAAAGCTGTGAGTTTGGGGGTCCCCTGGAACCCTATGGGGAAACAAAATCTGTTGGGGAGTTAACACTATGAACACATGCATCCTGTGCTCAGGTGTATACATGTGAAAATAAAGCCCTATAGCCTAAAGACTTTCACATTGACATGGCTGAACTTCATTCCAAGGAAACCAAACCCCGGGAAAGTGCAGGCACCCCTGGAGCCTCATGCCACTTGGGGACTGGGGGGCATACAACAACATAATAACTGAATAACTTAAAGCAAAACTGGACTTGATGCATAAAAAAGTCCTGGGCCCCTCTGCCAGGCAACCCTTTCGCTCACCAGCTGAAGCTTGATCTGAGCACACACAGACTTCTTCTTCACAGCTGCAAAGCTGCTAGTGAAAGTCTTCCTCACGCAGCCAACTCGCTGCAGTGCTTGCTGGGAGTTCCCCTCCAGCCCCGCAACAGACCGGCATATCAGGGGCACTTTGGACCGCAACAGAAACAGTTTCTTCAGAGGGTCTCTGTGGAGAAGGAAATGCATCACCCAACCTTAAGAGCTGCCCTTGTAAGATGGGCCTTGGTTAGTGTGTGTAAGGGAGGGAGGGAGATCCTTGGGCATCTCCAAAATAGGGTTGCAAGGTCAGAAGCATCCCAGAGCCTGAGATTCCAGGGCCCAAACCTGAGACCAAGGGGCAGCCCCTAGCAATGTCACAAGAGTGATGTCATTATACATGACCCATTAATCATTTAAGAAGACCGTCCAGGAGTTGCTGTGGGCAGCAGAGGCAGCAGGGCTCAGCTCCTGCTGCTCCTCTCCACATGTGCCAGTCACTTAGAATCAAATTGTAGAGTTGGAAGAGATTCCAAGGGTCATCTGGTCCAACCCCCTGAAATGCAGGAACTCAGCTAAAGCACCCCAGATACTTGGCCATCCAGCCTCTGCTTAAAAACCTCCATTGCCCATTCCACTGTCAAACAGCTCTTACCGTCAGAAGGTTTACCGTATTTTTCGCTCTATAGGACGCACCCGACCATAGGATGCACCTTGTTTTAGAGGGGGAGAACAAGAAAAAAATCTCCCCCTCTCTGCCCAGCGCAGAAGGTGCCGTTCAAGGTGCCTTCAGTCGCCTTCAGGTGGCTACCTTGGAAGCCTGGAGAGCGAGAGGGGTCGGTGCACACCGACCCCTCTCACTCTCCAGGCTTCAGTGAAGGCAACCCAAAGCCTCTGGAGCGCGGCGGGAGTTCCCGCTGCGCCATGAAGGCTTCGGGTTCCTTTCGACCTGCTCTTTGGGGCTGGTGGGAGGAACCCCCCCCCCGCCAGCCCCAAAGAGCAGGTTGGGGAGCAGCGGAAAGGCACGCAGGCAGAAGAAGCTTCTGCCATAGCCGCGTGCAACCTCTCCAGTTGGGAGAGGCTGCGTGGGGCTAAAGAGGAAGCCAACCATAAATGAAATTTAACTTAAACATTAACATCCTTAGATCTTCACCTTATGGAATTAATATTCCTAGCTGGTTCCCAGCCAACCATAAATGTACATTTTTAAGCCTCTCCTTCTTCTTCTTCTTCTTCTTCTTCTTCTTCTTCTTCTTCTTCTTCTTCTTCTTCTTCTTCTTCTTCCTCCTCGTCCTCCTCTTCTTCCAATGAAACAATCGTTGAGATGGCTAGAGCGCCGGTGGCGGATAACTCATTCCGAATCTGACCGGACACAGGTTAGAGCTCAACGTTGAGCCTACCAAGTGGCGATAGCGACGGCGAAGAAGAATTTCTTCACCGCCTCTATTGCATCTGCAGTAAACAGCAGCAGGAGACTTTTTCAGGTGGTTCACAATTTAGCGGAACCACCTGCAACATCGGGTCCCAGTACGGGCCACACGTTCTCCTGCAATGATTTTGCAAAGTTTTTTGCAGATAAAATCGCTCAGATTCGGGAAGAAGTAGACTCCACCGTGGGAGCAGGGCTGGGGCGGGAGAGTGCTAGAGTTCTGTCTAGTCAAGTTGAGTGGGATCAATTCCAATCTGTTACCTCCGAGGATGTGGACAGGCTGCTTGGACGAGTGAAACCAACCACCTGTCTCCTGGATCCTTGCCCATCCTGGCTTATAAAAGCTAGCCGGGAAGGTCTGGGCGATGGGCTTCGTGGGGTGGTGAATGCTTCCCTCCGTGAGGGAGCCTTCCCAGACCCGCTGAAAGAGGCGGTTATTAAACCGCTTCTTAAAAAACCATCTTTAGATGCGGCCACGATGGCCAACTATCGCCCAGTCTCAAATCTTCCATTCTTGGGCAAGGTGATTGAGCGAGCGGTTGCCGAACAACTCCAGGCACGCCGGGAAGAAGCGGACCATTTGGATCCCTTCCAGTCGGGATTCAGGCCTCATCATGGGACTGAAACTGCCTTGGTCGCACTGGTTGATGATCTCCGGCGGGCTAGGGACAAAGGTGAGAGCTGTTTCCTAGTTCTGCTGGATCTCTCAGCGGCGTTTGATACCATCGACCATAACATCCTTCTGGACCGTCTTCAGGGGCTGGGAGCTGGAGCCACTGTTATACAGTGGTTCTGCTCCTTCCTCCTGGGCCGGGTTCAGAAAGTGGTGGTGGGGGATGAGTGTTCAGACCCCTGGGCCCTCACTTGTGGGGTGCCTCAGGGTTCGGTCCTCTCCCCCATGCTCTTCAACATCTACATGAAGCCGCTGGGAGAGATCATCAGGGGATTTGGGCTGGGTGTTCATCAGTATGCGGATGATACCCAGCTCTACCTCTCTTTTAAATCAGAACCAGTGAAGGCAGTGAAGGTCCTGTGTGAGTGCCTGGAGGCGGTTGGAGGTTGGATGGCGGCTAACAGATTGAGGTTGAATCCTGACAAGACAGAAGTACTGTTTTTGGGGGACAGGACGCGGGCAGGTGTGGAGGATTCCCTGGTCCTGAATGGGGTAACTGTGCCCCTGAAGGACCAGGTGCGCAGCCTGGGAGTCATTCTGGACTCACAGCTGTCCATGGAGGCACAGGTCAAATCTGTGTCCAGGGCAGCTGTTTACCAGCTCCATCTGGTACGTAGGCTGAGACCCTATCTGCCTGCAGACTGTCTCACCAGAGTGGTACATGCTCTGGTTATCTCCCGCTTGGACTACTGCAATGCACTCTACGTGGGGCTACCTTTGAAGGTGACTCGGAAACTACAACTAATCCAGAATGCGGCAGCTAGACTGGTGACTGGGGGCGGCTGCTGAGACCATATAACACCGGTCTTGAAGGACCTACATTGGCTCCCAGTACGTTTCCGAGCACAATTCAAAGTGTTGGTGCTGACCTTTAAAGCCCTAAACGGCCTCGGTCCAGTATACCTGAAGGAGCGTCTCCACCCCCATCATTCTGCCCGGATGCTGAGGTCCAGCGCCGAGGGCCTTCTGGCGGTTCCCTCATTGCGAGAAGCAAAGCTACAGGGAACCAGGCAGAGGGCCTTCTCGGTAGTGGCGCCCGCCCTGTGGAACGCCCTTCCAGCAGATGTCAAAGCGATAAACAACTACCTGACATTCAGAAGGCATCTTAAGGCAGCCCTGTTCAGGGAAGTTTTTAACGTGTGATATTTTACTGTATTTGTGGTTTTTATGGAAGCCGCCCAGAGTGGCTGGGGAGGCCCAGCCAGATGGGCGGGGTATAAATAATAAATTATTATTATTATTATTATTATTATTATTATTATTATTATTATTATTCCTCCTCTTCCTCCTCCTCCTTTTTTGGGATTAATGGGAGGAGGACCAGGGGCCACAGGCTGCCTTCTGAAAGCAAATCACTTTCCCCTCCAATCATGGAGCTTTCAAATCCCCAGGGGATGTTCCAATTCCAATTAAAGTTCTATTGTTCATTAAGGGAAGGAAGGCAACCAGTGCAGAGAAAGGGGAGAAAGTGCTAAATGGGCAGAGATGCAGAACTAATTTTGCAGATATTAATTAAATTAAATTTTAAAATGTTCTAAGCTGTTTGGCTGAGGTGTTCTCGCCCTACCCACCACCCTCCAAAAATTAGGTGACTCTGCCTCTGCCTCAGTTTACCTTGCAAAGGTGCTTCTTCTCCCTCTGGTGCAACATCACCTCTCCCATTTTTCCTGACTGTTCCCTTAGAGATGGGATTCTCTGTGGCCTCCTGAGGAGACCTGCATTGGCTTCCAGTACATTTCCAAGCACAATTCAGAGTGTTGGTGCTGACCTTTAAAGACCTAAACGGCCTCGGCCCAGTATACCTGAAGCAGTGCCTCCACCCCCATTGTTCTATCCGGACACTGAGGTCCAGCTCCAAGGGCCTTCTGGCAGTTCCCTCGCTGCAAGAAGCGAAGTTACAGGGAACAAGGCAGAGGGCCTTCTCGGTGGTGGCGCCCGCCCTCCCATCAGATGTCAAGGAAATAAGCAACTATCCTACTTTTAAAAGACATCTGAAGGCAGCCCTGTTTAGGGAAGTTTTTAACATTCAATGCTGTATTGTGTTTTTAATATTCAACTGGGAGTCACCCAGAGTGGCTGAGGAAACCCAGGCAGATGGGTGGGGTATAAATAAATTATTATTATTATTATTATTATTATTATTATTATTATTATTATTATTATTATTTGTAAATAAAAGACTATTTTTTCTGCTTGCTTTTACCAAGTCATTCATATAATTTAACAAAAAACTGGGGTTTTGTGGGATTGCATCTCCTAATATATTTTCCTCTTGGTACTTAAATTAAATTCCAATACCTTTTTTGCTAGTTAACAACCCCACCACACGTGATAGCAATCTCCCTCTTGCTCTGGGGCATTTCCAACACATAGCTGAATAAGTTCCACTTATTTTTGAATCATGGTGATGGGAGACTGCCATGTCATCATGACTTAATAGCAGTTTCCACTTGTGTTCCTGTCCTTGTGTGGGCCTTCAATTCTCCCCGATGCTGATCCCTTTTAAAACCAGCCATCAGCACACCACTGGGCATTGAATTTAATCAATTAATTCTGAAGCACAATATGAACGACTGCATCTCCTCCCTCTTAGCTTTATTGGGTGAGGAGTTCAAATTCCAATATCAAGTGATAAATAAATTGCATGAAATAAAACTAAACAGATAAACTTCCCCCAGGACCTGAGGTCGGCGCTGCCTCTGGCATGGAATTCTGCATGCAGAAGAACTTACATTTTTGACTCCTGCAGGACTTGGATGGCATTCTGCACTGAGAGGTTCCACTTGGCTTTGTTCACCCAGCCAGTGGCATCATAGCGGACGGAGTCTTGGCCGAGCTGGTGGGC